AGAATCTGGTTTTTTTCTCTTTTTTCGAGAAATTTTTATATGACATGAGATAGGATAACAGATAACCGGAATGATGATCGATATGCGTTTTATCTTTTGGTTTGTTGGGGAAAGAGATTGTCATCGTATCAAATTCGAGTTTATTGGACGCGATGTGACATGACGAAGGGAAAAAGCGCGTGAAAAATAGCGAAAAAGATTATTTGTTATTCGATTCGTTTTAAATTTGACACGATGCAATTTATCGCACGAACGAAATCCACGTAATCTGCGAGCTAAAATCCGTCAGCTTCGACACGAACGCGATCTTTCTGAATTTAAAGTAAACGATCAATTATGCTAATATTATTACACGCACACATACACACACACACAAACACAGTAACGCACGTTCCTACCTGGGGTCTAATGAGCCTTAGGGTGCTAATTCCAAAGTGAATGCAATCGGTAAGCAAACGTCGAGGAATTATGCAAATAGGGAAACCGAAAAGGAAACACGTGTAGGTTGTTAGCAAATTACTTTTATACGTTAGACAAACACCGTCGACAGATCGTAATGAACGCGAATTCGAGTAAATTAATTACATTATTTATGCAGAGTTTTTCGAAGAAATCTCATAAAATTTTTTCATGCTGATTCAATATTCGAGAACAAAATTTTTATTTTTCTAGTAAATTGTAAAATATTAATATACATATATTAATTACATTTATATTATATTCGTTGCATTACTTACACATCTCTCTCTCTCTCGAGAAAAAGAGAGAAACAAGACCGCAACAATGAGATATAAAAAAATGAGAACATTTAACTGACGAGACGCTAACAATAAGACTGCGAGTCGCAATGTCAATGTTACAGCTTTCCGAGCTCTCTCTTTTACGGCCGGCCGTCAAAGTGAGATGTGTCTCGCGCACAAATGTCATTTAGAAGAGAAAATTGTCTGCTTCTCGCGTGTTCAACTTGGAGGCGATAAAATTAAAAATAATATCCGCAAATAAACGAAAACCTCTAAATTGTGTTAAACATTCATCTAAAATTCAAACCATGTTTTTGAATAATGGAGAAGAGCTCCGCCATATTTTGTAATTTCCGTTTTTCCACGCGCGGCAATTACTTTTTTGTTTTTGTTTTGCACGAGAGCAACTAGAAACTTACTTTCTCTCTCCCTCTCTCCTCGGCCTTATCTATGTACAAAACAATACCTAATGTACATAAGGTGTGTATATACGTATAACAACGCGCACACATGTATAACTCACTCTCACGAAACAGGTCAAAGTATTTTGCACGGCTTCAATATATTACAGCGCAGACACGCGATATAAAAAGAAAAAGCCGGTAAAATGGAACGATGCGTAAAAACGCGCATTGAAAACGAATCCGCGAATTTTTTTAAATGTTATATTTTCGCGCGAAATAAAAAAATACGTGCAATAAAACTCGCAAAGCGTGATTGTTTGCGTTTCAACTTTTTCACATTGAGTGTTTTACATGTTCGGGAGAAACGCGCTTCGATGTTTTATTGTATTATTTAATTCTACGCCACACACGAGCGAAGTCAGGGTCATTTTTGATTCTTTAATTAAAACCGCGTTAAAAAACACAATACATTTTGTTGCAAAAGGCAGAACCTGTGCTCTGTGGGTCAATAATGACCCTGAATTTGCTTGGTTGTGTGTTGCTGGGGTAATATTATTTTTTTTAGTCGTGAAGGATACGTGAGCCCTCTCCCCTGTCTCTGTCTCTCTCTCTCTCTCTCTCTCTCTCTTCTGCACTGAGTTTTATAAAATAATATTTAAATAAAAAAAAAATATTTAAGCTATCAAAATACTAAGCTACGAAGACAGTTTAATTTAAGTTTGCGTTGGTTGAAGAATTTCCGCATTCGATCCAATGGACTGTGTCAAGCGTTAATGTCCGAGAATGCGGAATTGCGGTCGCAACTGTGCAAACAATAGACACACGTGTTGTCCAGATTTAGGAACATCTCACATCTATGTTTAAAGATGATCAAACGTCGTCACGCGTGGGTGAATCTGTTGCGACGTTGATTAAAACGTCCTCAATCGTTAAAACGAAACGTAAGTGTGTACTTACTAGTCTCAAATATAGACGCACGTTTAAAATTACACATATCGATGTTATATAATTACCGTAATTACGGCAAAAACGTGCGTATTTCTTTCCAGACCTCCGGATTGTTGTCAAAGCGTCTGTTGCGAGAGCAAATATTTGGAAACGCGTGATGTTATTTGCAACGTCGCGTAAAAAATTAATTGGCATTGAACTTCTCTCGTTTTTTTCATACTTCTATTTTTTTTATTAAAAAAAAAAAAAAAAAAAAAGGGAAGAAGAAAATACACCTGAAGAAGCCTTTGATCATTGGTATGTCAATGCCATATTTAATGACGCGCGGTTATACAATGTAGGCGTATCACTTTTCCCATTATCGATCTGATTCCGCTAACACAATAATGTTGCAAAAACTATTAGGACTATACTTGATTTGATATACTCAATTAATTTGTAATGCAATCGATCGAGATGATATTATTAAGTCACCTTGGTGCTTCACCTTGATAGAAAATATAATTTAAAAAAATGTGCGATGAGAGAAAAAAAAGTGCAAAATGTTCGATCTTGAATTGTCACGAAAAACTGAATGACCGAATGTATGTATATAATTCCATTGTTCCTTAAAACAACTTATTTAACCATTCGCTCCCGGTTTTTAGATCTCTAATAATCCCGTTGCAGTTCGGATATCGCGCGTCTATCTATGGATATTCATGGATATTTAGCGCGCAAATGCCATTTATGCGATCCTCGCGGCAATTTCGCAGAAGCGTGTTCAATTAAATGGCGCGCTTCGTTCATCGCAGCGGCGATCACATAAATGGTTGAAGCATCCTTCGGCGGAGATACCGATACAAATTGAGCCGTAATAAATCGGAAATGCGCCAGCTCTCGCGCGCCCGGAGATGTGCTTTCAATTAGACGCCGTCGAGCAACTGCACTTATCTTACAATTAGCAGAAAAGGAAAAGAAATAGTGATTTGTACGTTTTACATCGGAGATATTTTTATTCCGCGCTGTGCGCATTCAATCGCAATCATGTTTCGCACGCTTCGTTGTTAATAATTTGTGAATTAGAAAAACAAAGAAAGGAGAAACGCGCTTTGTTACGAACGCGATATCGTATTATAGATAAGCAATTCATGTTTGATTTACTCTTATCGGTCGAGAATAAAAAAAAAAAAAAAATTGTAATTTAGGTAAATGACAATCGATATCTATTCCGAGACATGTGCTAAGCGCGAGTTATGATAAATGGCGACGCATTGTGGAAAACGTGTACTACGAAAGCGTCGTACGTTCTCACGGGACTGTGCAAACACGATTTTTGATTGACTTTCGTCTGTGACCTCCGAATGTTTACGTCGGAAATTTTGTGTACAAGAGAGAGAGAAAGAAAAAAATTACAAAAGTAGCTAAATTTACAAATTTAAAATTCTCTCTTTTTCTTTATTTTATTTATATAACGAGTTATTGTTAAAATACACACGCATATACATTCGTAAGAATATGTCGTAAACACACCAAACGAAAAGAACTTTCACATAAAACGCAGCAATCTTTTAATAAATCAAGTAGCGATCACTTTTACGACGGACACATGTTGTATATTACGGATATTAAAAAAAGAAAAGCTTAAATCTCAAATATATCCCAGGACACATTGTAATATACTACACACGAGGCTAAGATTGGCTATTTCTATGGAACTCGATTTAAAGTGGAGGTCGCAACGGAGTGCGGAAGTTTACCTTCGGTGTGACGAAAATCCCGATAGAAAATGGTCCCCTTTGATCTTGCTAACCGAGATTCCACCGAGAGAGAAATGCACAGAGGGAGACGATGAGAGAACGCAAATATTAAGCGATTCAAAGGCGAACACGTCAACCAGAGATCGTAGTAGTAGTTTTTCTCAATCACACACTCAATCATTGTGAATATATCTTCCGATCTGCGAATACAGGTCAGTGAATTCGTTTCGGATATTTTGCGTCGCGTATTGTTTCACCGTGTTCGGTCGTAAAAATTTTTTTCTGGCCATCCTGGCGAGTAATAAAACGTTTCAGACGCAATTGTGCCGAGATGAAAAATCGCGTTTCCCGAATATCCGTTTCTTTTCGTGAATAAAAAAAAAAAAAAAAAAATACAATAAAATTTCTCTCTCTCTCTTTGTAGCGTTGTAAGAATAAGATTATCAATTTTTCGCGTGTGATTGATATATTGTAAAGTAACGGTGTTGCAGTGTATATTCAAAGAAAACAAAGAAGTTTTTATTAGCAGTAATTTTGTAAGAGATAAATATTTTTGTTCTCTAACAAGTTTTGAAATTTGACAAGTTTCAAAGTTTTTTGAAAAACTAACTTTAAAGTAACGTTTGTAATTTAAACAAACAAAGTTTTCTTTTGACGCGTTTTAATTAAATTGCTAATTTATATACGATAATTAAGATAAAATCGTATTAACTCTTGAAAACGAAAATACACATCGCGAATCGTGCGCTAAAGAGAATTTAACGTTTTAAGAAATTTATCTTATTCAACAAAAAAACCTACCTACTGTCGGGGAGTATGAGCTACTTCTCTGAATGTTAAAGGTAAGGATTATGATTGAGTTACAATTTCCAATATCCGCGAATAGATTACTCTATTAATTTCAGAAATATGTTCACTTAAGTATATTCTCCGCGCAGATAAGATTCAATTGATGATTGTGAAATATAGACGGTGTTTTGATTGTGTTACAGCTTGCTCCGCAGAAGCTATTTCTGTATTGTTCGTGTGTGTCTTACAATTCGACTATACATGCCAGTTCCGTGTCATGTGTTTCTTTGTAACTCGATCGTAATTTGACATATGTCATTTCTCTATTCGTATGACAGAACTGTAGAAAATAAAAATTTATATACACACAAGATACGTACTGTAGATGCACGCGTAACAATCCCAACGCACCGCTGCTGTGAAATTTTTTATTTCCCGATCGCTGTTGAATACATCAAATATATATCCAGTATGTATCATCGGATGAGACGAAACTTGACACGAACTGTGCTATTTGAAAAAGATGAAAACTTAGAGAAATTTATCGAAGATATGAAGCAGTCGCTGCACGTCAACGCACATCACGCGGAAAGAAAAACGCTCATGCCGCGCGATAACGCGACGCTCGAACACGATGCGTTTCGATCGTCTTTGCTGCGTAAGAACTCGCGGGATATGTTTTTTATTGAGAGTGCACACACCATGACACCACACACAGATCCGGATAAAAAAGACGCGCGTAACGCCTGATACGGAAGAAGCGCAGCCACTGAACGCCGGGGGGTTGCCGCACGGTAGGCGCCCTCGACACAGCTAGCTCTGTCAGGGTGGGGTGATGACGTAGAGGGAGCCAGGGCCGATTGGTGCTTATGATAGGACCTGTGGCGAAATAGGGTGTCCTCGTTGTTTCCGTTCTGATGATTTTAATTGGCTAATGAACGATTTGCCGCCTATTTCTACAAAGTTTTCGTTCGCCTCAGAGAAAACAGTTTTTTTTTTTTTTAAATCCTAGTTTTACGTTTGTATTAATTTCATCGAAGCAACGGCAGTAGTCGCAGTCAGTTCCAAACTTTGTCCAAACTTTGTAAAGCAATATACAAAACTCTGAAATAAAATCCGATTCGCGTTTTTTTAATGTTTCTCACAGACTTTATCGGCAATGCGGTTATTTCTGCGAGTAAACAATCAGAACACGAAGTATTTTGAGAAAATATCGACTCGTAAGATATATGCGAACTGCAGTATACGGCATATGTATATTTTTTTTACAATCTCGTCGCGTAGTTATCTGTCACACCATCGACTTTTACGTCAAGAATGTTTCGCAACTTTGCTCCGACATGTTTATTCCGCATGCGACAGAACCGCCAAAAAAAAAGAAGATAGAAAAGTTGTCGACTCTGCGGTCTTCATTCGCGAAACTGCTTGTGTGCCACGTTACTCAAGAGAAAAACTACATTGTGTGAACTGAACTTCTAATATGAAACAAAATAACACGCACACATAGTTGCGTGATAAAACTTTTAAAATAATGCGCTTGAATGTTTGTTAACAACAGCACACGTGTATTATTACACGTTGCTCGTTGGTCGTGAAATTGTATAAAAAAAATCTTCGTCAGTCGCATTAAAACACTTCTCATCTATCAAGCAAATTTGCGTGTCGGTGGAGCGCGCATCGTTACGTTCTCGATGTACGAGACGTTATTATATACATATATGTATACACATGATAAACGTTGTCCATTTGCGAATAAGACCGACGTACATAGATGCATTATCAAATTACTTGGCGTCCGATTGTGCCACACAGTTTGCGTGCAAAGTTTTGCCGCGAAAAGTGCACAGAGTTATGTTATAGCGCGGAGGTACACGTTGTGCGGAATTAATGAACTTCCATTAGACTTAATTAATGAATTAATCTTGAGCACAGTTTTGGCGCTTTTTTTTTTTCGAGAGAGCTGTCTCTCTACTTCGGCAAATGTATAATTGATACAATCGCTTCGACATCGCAAAAACTAAATTGCAGAGACCTCGCGCGGAATTAAAAAACTCAGCGCTGAACTTTTACGCCGTACGTGTATTTATTAAAGAAACATAAGCTTCGTCGCAAAGAAATATACTTTTTTTTTACGACTAAAAACACGATAAAACATAACGAACAGGTCGGAACATGGCGACGTAAAAAAAGTAATGTGTACACACATACACGTACCTACGTATTTGTAACTGTGAAAAGTACAGAACATATACTAGTAGTTGATATTGATCTCATAATCTGATCTTAAATATGTAATACGTCTTTTCTTATATATGTAATACGTCAATTAATTTTTTTTGCAACTAATAATATAATTTTCTCAGCAAATGTTAAAATTGAATTTGGAATCAGAGATAACCGATGTGTGCGTGAGAAATCAAATTTAAAAGTAAAGTATCTTTTTAATTTTATTTTTTATTGGGATAACTAGATTACTTCTCACACATTGCTGTGATAAATTTTGCAGCAAGATTGTTTTAGACTTTGTAAATCAATTTTTCCTTTCTTCTCTCTCACATCTCGCCGCATTGAGCGCCGCATTGAGCGAAAACATCTTACAAGCGCGCTTTCTATGCATGACGTCGAATCGTTTATTTCGCATAAGGCAGCGCGATGCATCATGTCGAGAGCGGGACGGTCGTGTTAGACGAGCTCGACTTAATCTTACATGTGCCACGTTCCTTCCCCCGTTCACGTTAATTTAGATATTTCTCATCGTCATCGTCCGGCTCCTCACCGCGCTTCCTCATTTTCCTGTGCCCGCCTCTCTTCTATTTCTTGCTCCTTCTTACGAAACGAGAGAAGAGTGCAAATGACCCCCCCGAGGGCATTTGCGTATTATCGTTCATGCCTTAATCACGAGTTCTCTTACATGTCCATGTAAGAGAGAACACACACACACACACACACACAAGTGGGCGGAGCAGCGACTCACTTTACCTGTATTTGACAGTTTAGTCGTTGAAAAACGAGTACAAAGGACCAAAGGAGAAGACGAACAATGTTCTTGATTTTAACATGAAATCTAATAGCGCAAAAATTTCTGTTCACAAAAGCAATATTTACAAGATTTGCGAAACCGAGCGATTTTAATCGTCAACTAACGCTCTCGCGATGTGTCACAAGAATTTTATAAAAATTGCAGTTCGAATGTTAATGTCATTTTTTTATATCGATGTTTTTTTTCGTGGACATTTCAGTTCACTTCATCAGAGTTTAAGAGCAGCCCCGATACTGCTTTTTGTCAGATGTTTCTTTTTATAACGCCGGGTTGCGGAATGAAGGGAATGAGGGGTGTAATAGAAAAGGATGATGCGGTTTCATCATCCGCGTTTTAATACGAGCTTTTTCTCAAGATTAGAATCCTACAGTTCCTACTTTCGTGTGTAAGAACAACATTTCAAGAAGCGTAACCGGACAATAAGGGTGTTTGCGGTGATTAGTGTCACTACACATCCCTGTATCAAGTCGCTTTACGACTCTATTAAAGCGACCGGTTTCAAGAACGTTTTCACGCCGCAGTCGCGTTGCCTATTTTTCCCCCTCGCATCTACTCGAGGCTATTTTAATAATACTGTTAAATGCGCCTTGAAAAGTAAAACTATTTTTAATACCTATACACACATACATACACACACATACACACAGTCTTCCCTGTAGGCGTGTGTAATGAACAAATAATTAGTCGCAACTACGCGTTTGTTTCTTCAGTGAATTGTACTGCGCAACATCCCAATGACCGGACATTTAAAGAAATAATTATTAGACGTGTAAAAATATTAAACATAACAATTCTTTAAGTATCTTTTAAAATATGTTTTTTTTTTTTTTATATTTGTTTCGAACTTTACATATGAAAACGCTTTGGGTAATTATTTCTTTAAACTGTCTATAATCATTTTGGGATACTTAATTTATTACTGAATATATATGGGAGTTTTTTTAAAGCAAAATTACGGTTATTTTCAGCAATATATCTTAATAGTTCGCGCTTATATATTAGCGGTACAATGGAATATTCTAAATATTCCCGCGCGTATTCTGGTATCTCGCACCAATTGCACGCCCCCAACCAATCCACACGCTCGCTCTCCCCGAGTCTCTGTGTAACTTACCTGGCCGGTTCCCCTGACGGAGGCCCTGACGGAGATGTGAGTTTAAAGGGGCCGCGGCAAATAGTGGAGGCCTCGGTTTCGCGTGTGCCCCGACGCGGAAAGCCGGTTAGTCGGTCTCAATCCGCCGTGGTGTTCGCGTTGAAGTATTTTCTTCGAGCGGCAAGAAGAGTTTCTTCTCGTCGACATCTGAAAAGTCGACACGGAACATTGAGAAAGCTGAGATCAGAAAAATTGAAAAGACTTGGTCCCGAGATAGCGTAAACACGCTCGCTGTGCCGTGTTTGTCTGTTAAGCTACATCATTTTCGGCGCGCATCTCGCCGAGCGGAAAGTTCTTTTGTTTCGGTGCACAATAATTTTGGGGGTGTTACATATATTATGTATGTTTACATATGTAGTGTTTTAGTGCACGGTGGTTGCGATTAACGCTCAGACTTAGCGTATCTGGATCTGCGCGTGAAAGAGGTACGTCTCTGCTTTGTTTTGCTTCCTGGACGGCGAGCGTGCGTTGTCACACGTTCGAGGTTAGATTAATAATAAGCAGAAAAAATTAGTCAAAGGAATACTATAAAAATGTGATTTCCAAATGAATTTAAACCTTCTGACAATATTTATTGCAAAACTTATGTGTATATATATATATATATATACGGTAGTAACGTCTGCACACGTACACACACATGCACGAGCACGCACACACACATTTCTCCACGATCGCCAGCAATTATATCACTGCTCATACATAAAACAAAATGGTTCGTTGAACAAGACTCGTGTTATTAGTATAATATATAACTATTACCTGGAAATTTATGTTTTATTTATTTATAGAAAACGGTATTTTAAAAAAGTTATTTTTAATTAAAAACTTTTTTTTTATATAATTTATATTGTGTTACCATTTGTGTGTGAAAAATAAGTTTACGATATTATATTTATTTAATATATATTTAAGTTAATCTTATATAAAAGAATATGTAAATTAATTTTTATGCCAAGAGTTTGTCAGGATAATTAAGTTTTTAATTAATGATATGGTTCTGCATTAGAGTTTATAGAGTTTTCTTTCTCTATCTCTTTTTCTCTCCTCTTTTTCTCTCTCTCTCATTCTCATAGGAATTACGCTAATTATACTATATTTAAACAGAGAATTGTTTTTGAAGAATACGCAACTATAAGTGTGAAATATAACACGCGTACAACGTTGATGCAAAACAATTTTAAATAAATTCCGCATTTTACCAACTAGTACTTGAACAACGCAATTTTTGTCACTTTAATGAAAAAATAAATTTGTATCCAATCTCAGAATGTTGCAATTACGTCGTTATTTAAAGATAAACTCTCGAAAATAGCCATTTTGGCAATATTTATTTATTACAAATCCTATTCTATTTTTTGTATTGTAAAATTCAGATTCGAATTCGATGCACATCAAAATTCATAGAAAATCAATCAAATTTTTTTCGTTAAAGTGACGGACAAAAAAATTGCATAAATTTCTAGATCAATGTAATTGTTTTTTTTTTTTGTTCGCATTATTGTATTGTTATAACAATAGAACCACTATCATACGGGAAAATGTAGCGGCGGTGCAGCCTACTTCTTTCGTTTACCGCTAAATTTGGATTAACCCAATTCATCTCGTGCGAATGTTCTCAAACAAGCGCAGCTCGTAGTTCCGCAAAGAAAATTGTAGGAAGAAGCAAAATATGCATAACCAATGTAAAGACTATTTTACCGTTGGTGATCCGATGTTAATGCGGCTACGTTGCAAGAGCATTAGTCTCACGTCATGCAGATGTAAACTCGCGTTACAGGTACAGAGTAGTAGCGAGCGATGCGTCATGATGAACTTTTTTTCTCGCTGCGACATGTTTCCGGTGAATTACGCAAAGGCTAATCAGATATTGACTGCGTTAATTAATTAACACGTCGCAGAGAGAAATCTTAAGATAAATAAACAAACACGAGGCGCATGTGTAAGTTTTTTTTCTTATGTGTGTGTGTGAGAGAAAGATTAATTTTTAATATTACCAAGATGAAGATAATTCTCTCCTTTTTTGGTCTCATCTGTTACGTTCTCTTGTCTCGTGCGTATTATTTGCATAATCTCTAGCAACTCGCATGTACTCGCATGTGGTGAAAATTATGATACACGTACAATTATAAATTATAATGAAAATTTATAATAAATTACAATACACTTATTAAATATTTATTATGATATATAAATATTTTCTGTACGTGTATGTGTAAAAGAGTTTTAATTTTTCACGAGATGCTGTAGACAAACTGTAGAGTGAACTAGCGTAAACACCTTACAGGCGATCAAACTGGAAGATTAGAGAAGCAGCACGTTTGAACGTCCTATCTACTTGACGACTGATGTCTAGGTTCTGTGTGCGATTTCCCGTATCGTACAAACTTGCTTACGGACGGACACCTTTATTTCGCCCGAGGCTGTCTATCGAAACGCAAGGAGTTATGGGTGAGGAGCCCCGGAGCAACAACGAGAGTGCTCTGTACATCGCGAGATTTCGTCGCAGTTGCCGCAACCGCGAGTCTTACGACGCGGTCGCGCAGTTGGAGGCGGAATTGCGACGTGCCTACATGGTGAAGGGACTCGAGGCGCAGCTCGAGGAGAGGCAAGTCTGCAGACAGGCCGAGCTCGTGCGAAAACACGAGGGCGCCGAGCTGAGTCGCCAGCAGCAACAGAAAGCGTTGGAGGAGGATCTCAGGCGCCGATCGGAGAATCTGCGGAAGTCCGCGGAATACAGGCAACAGCTGAACGAGCAGTTGACACGAAAAGAAGAAGAAAAGAGAGTACTTATGGAAGAAGCTCGCGAATACAGGAAGTTCCTGGAAGAAGCGGACAGACTGCAGGAGGAACGGGAGCGCGCTCGTACACTAGAGAAGAAGTGCGAGCTGGTGGAGAGGATGAGACGGGAGAGACTGCGTCTCGAGGAGATGAGGGAGATCCGTCGGCAAAAGGAATACGAAATGGAAGAAAAGAAGCAACGAGAAGATGTAGAGTACTTGAAGGAGGTAGAGGTAAGATCAAAGGAGATGAACAGACTTCGAAGAGAGCAGTTGGAGAGACGCGAGCGTGTGCAGATGGAAATAACGAGAATAATACTTGACGCCGAGGCTCGGAAACGCGAGAAGGAAGAGTATCTGATCGACCTCGTGGCAGAGGAGATAAGGTGTGAACTTATGATCAGAGAGATGGAAGAGACAACGCGTCGGAAAAAGATGCAGCAGGAGCTGGCCGTTAGTTTGCGGGAACAAATTGTCTTTACCGAACAGTGTAAAATGCGTTTCGCGGAAGAGGATAAAGCATGGGCCGAGGAAGTTATGAGGAAGGTCATGGAGGACGAAAAGACGGCGAGGTGCACGGCGGAGGCGAAGAGAAGAATGAAAACGCAGTATCGACAGGATCTAGAGAAGTTGATTGCGCACCGTCGCAGAATTCGAGAAGAAGAAATCGCGAGAATTGAGGAAGTCGCCCGCGAGGAACAGAGGCTGAGGTTAATTGAGATGGAACACGCGAAGGAGGAGAGAAAACGCTTGTTGACAATACACGCGACCAACATCGCGAGCTTCGTGGATAGAGCGATTCTCACGCCCGAGGAGCAACAAATACTCGCCGAATTAACGAAAACAAATCAAACCGTTGACAGTAACGATGCGTCGAAGGAGACGCAAAAAGATTGAACACAAAAATCGAACAACACCTAATTATAATTTAAATAAAAAATAAAATATCTGGAAAAATAATGTAAACTGATACCGACCTCCTGAGAAAACTTCTGTCTGTTTAAATATGTTCTTCGAACATTTGTTTCGTTTTTTAAATAAAAAAGAATAAGAGAGACATGTTTCAATTAAGACGAAAAAAAAATATATATAGTTTAATTACATACACTATGCATATAATTTCGTGTCTCTTGATATACGCGAGAAATTACAGCGCGTATTTTAATTATATCATTAGAAATTATCATCATCCCATTGGAAACTTTTAACATATTCAAGCACGCTTCATTCATAAATGAGTTATCTCTTGCAACATTATTCCAAGAAGTTGCGTTGCGAGATAACTTCGACGCGCAGAAAAGAGCTGAACAAACCTGATACGGTAATGTATTCTAATGTATTAAAATTATGCTTCATCGCGATTGATTACGCTCTCTTTTATATATGTATACGTACATATATATATATAATTTTTCCTGTTATCGAAGTCTTAAATTATCATCGAGGCGTGATATGTGATGTTGCGAGGTGAGACGGCGAGATTTTATGCTTGTGCGGAGCGAGATGTAACTAACTGTTTTATGTAAATTATGTGTGTAATACTTTCTCGATAATAATAATTCTTTATATCTTGCGAGATTATTAATCGCCAAGTGAGATCTAATCTTTGCTAATAAGAAATTACGCGTGCTTCAGCAATCTATAAAATTTTAAACAGGAAGAAACATTGCGCAGATGTAATTAGCGACAAGAAGATTGTGGTCATTCGTCCGTCCCGTGTATTAAACTACAGTTTAATATTTTTTACGCGTATTTTCGAGGATAAATTTCTCATCTCGTTTAACATTTTGCATGATGATACAACTTTATACGCGGTCTATAATTCAGCGATTAAAACATGACAAATTGTTTTAATTAATACACGTGGCTATATTGAAGACTACTACATCTACGAGCGGAAACGTTAATGTTTTTACACATGAGATCACACTTTTCATTGTTTGAAATATTGCATTGTTGGTGCACCTTCATGTGTAAAGACTTCTGCCTGTCCACATTACATGTAACGTAACTATGTGTAAATTTTATGAAGCGCTAGAAGAAAAGTTTTTTCAATATTAAAACTTCCGATAGTTCGCAAAATCATAAATTTATGATGAGGCAGAGATCTACAATGTTGAAAAAGTTTACTTTTTTTTCTTTACAGAAATCATAAACAAACATTATATCCTTAGGAAGATATGAAGGCGTTACCGCGCAGAACTTTTCGAATATTTGGTGCAAGACAGCACACGGATATTTGCCCCTTAGCACCTGTCGCCAGGTGTTGCTTGTCTGTTAGAATGTTCAAAGATTTCCCATGAGAGGCACCGCTCGAGTAATTTCCAAGGAACTTGCGCGCCTATTATGAAACATTTTGTCTGTAGAAGATGGATCTTCTAAGTGGAATTAATAATTTGCGTCAAGAGTTCACTTTCTTAATATGTCAGTGAGGAATTGGGAGTCCTTGAATTCTCTTTTTTATACATTCCCATAAAATATCTTTATTTTCAACTAATTTTGTTGATCGCCAATTTTTTTTTGAAGACGTACTTGCTTCTTAACTTAGAAACAATTAAATTGAAGAACGCTACTACCAATAACAGAAAAATGAAAATACAAAAAATACATGAAATAATTGCGTGCGCAAATATTAATGATCGTTAAGTATCAAATCACGTCGGAGTGAAAAACGAGAGCGCGGCTTGATGAGTAAAAAGTTACGCTAATTATTTTATCACGTATAATTGATCGTGGCTCTATATCCGAACTATCATTTATGGCCTTGTATAGTCATCGATCGAGTTACATAGTAAGACACGGCCGGTCTGTGACGACAGAATATAGATAGAACACATTAAAGCGAAACAATCATGGTGTACATTAAAAGATTATATTATCGTTTGATGTATAAAAACTTTCGACTTGACAGAAATGTATGTAGCGCGTATGTGTGTGTGTGTGTAATAAATCGAATAATATATTCAGGTTGCGTTCTGAGAACATAATGCATGTACGTCAATTTTTTTCAGTAGAGATAATCTGAGATTTTTATTGTCATTATTTTACAACGGAAAGAAAGAGAGAGAGAGAAGAGAAAAGTAAGAAGTTATACCGCGGCAATTAAGACTCTACGTATTCTTACTTACAACATATCGTAAAACACAACACTTGATTTTCTTGCTATAACGTGAAGCCAGTAAAGCGTTTACTGTTAAGTGCGATTTATTTCTCAAGAATGTTATAACGTTTGAGATTACTTTAAATTATGCAAATGGTTTGTAAATATTCCATTTTGAGACTATCTAGTATTTAAATAAAAAATAAAAAATAAAAAATAATAATAATAAATAATAATAAAAAATAAAAAAAAATATATAATAATACTATTTAAATAAATAATAATCTGACTCTGGTGTAAAAAATAATTATTGTTAAATTAATTGCATTGAGAACGCGCGTTGGATGTAGCAGTGTTTTTATCTGTACGTGTTGGTTCGAAAAAAACATTTGTTTTTATACGGCGTGTTGTATTTTTCACGAACTGATGATATAAACAAAAAAATACCGATTTTACGCGCAAAAATCAAAAACGTACACGGAAAAAAAAGTTTTGCTATTATATAGTCAGCAAAAAAAAATGGTTGATCCTACGAAATTTTTTGTTTCATCAACAAAATATTTTGTTGGCAAAACAAAAATTTTACTAAACTTAACAAATGTTTTTTTGCTGGCCATATAGTAACTAATTTCTTGCTATTTTAGCAAATCTTTTTTTTCCGTGTAGAATTAAAGTTTGTCGCGTACACAAAGCTACGTTTTCCGAGAAAATCCGCGTTAGAATATTGCATTTGTGACATATTCATTTTATTTTAATATTAATGTTTCCCGTTAAATACGTAAATGCAAATACATATTTATGTTCTATACATATGTTGTAACCTTATATCTATATTCTATACATATATTGTAACCATCAAGTCTCTATCTTTGCTATTTCATATCATAAAATCGAATATGTTCAACAGCGCATCACTTGCGTGAAACAGGGTCATAAAGATATTGCTATGGTCATTAGACTCGCGACGATGGCTTCGTAAACACAGACATACGATTCTGTAGATTACGAAAAAGGATTGATGTACATCCAGTCAATAATTTACGTTTCTGCACGAGAAACGGTCACGCAATATGTTTAATTACCCACTTTTATAGATTTCACATGCAATATACACGCTCCATTAAAGTCACTTAAATTTATTTGTTTAATCACAAATGTATTTGAATTTATATCGTGTGTATACGTGTTTATATTATTATATAAACATATTAGAAATTACAGATTTAATATATTATCTAATATTCGTATATACTGCATTTTTTCATAAAATGCTACGTAAAATAAAAAAAAAAAGTGATAGCTCAAATTATACGTCTATAAAAATTAGTTCCGATATAACCGTAATTGCACGTGTGGTCGAAAGTACTTACCGACAAAAATCTGAAAACGTTTCGTTTCGTTCTTGGCATATCTTGCAATATTGCACTCACAATTAATTTACGTTACGTTCCACGTGCGCGAATATTTCACTCTCAAACAATCGCGAAAAATTGGTTTCCGATCCGAAACAAACTTGACTGCCGCTTGCTTTTTCTGTCGTGACACCCGATATGTAACGGCGCGCCGGTTGCACGTAGCGTCATACGTTATTACGACGAACGACCGATATTTTACGAGACACTCGCGATAAATTCTGACGCACGGAATTCAGTTTTGCACGCTAACACTCGCGGGAAACACGGAACGCGACGCTTCAACCTGTCTCCATGTTTTTCTGACTGATCGCGTTGCTTATATTCGAGAATCGCAATATCGCTTCTCGATATGTCGCGACGTTCGCGCGCGCGCGCCCTCTCTCGCTCGCGCGGTTACTTCGGAATTTTCGAAGAGCGATATTGATAGCATCAACGGCGGTCACGTATGTACAACACGATGTTTCATACATCACGACAAAACACCGTCTCTTATTTTCCACATTCGCGATAATAATTGCGAGCGGAAACGGTTCATTTTCGAGACACAAACAGTCTGCGGCAAACGGGCAGCTGCCATTTCGTAACTATCTCGGCGTGTTTTTTTTTTTTTCGAATCAAAGAATCGCAATATCTCTCTCCTCTCGACACGTGATCAAAAACTCGTCAGTCCTTATCGAATATACGTACAAATATACGTAATATCGACGTGAAGTCGAACAAAGTTGTCGTAACGCGGCGCGCGCAACTTCATAAAGTCCCCATGGTATATTTCCACCATGACAAAATGTTCAGCAAATATAAATCCTATCTCCGAGAGAACACCTCGGCGATATATACGCACCGCGCGAACCAGTTGACATCAGAATGGGACACACAATATGTCGCGCTACACGCTCGCTTTGACAGTGAAAAAGCTTTGAACCTTTACACTCGGAGATGTCGCTTACTCCCGGACGGCAATACATCAAGCGGCGGCGGGTCTTTCTTTGAGGAAAAAAAGAGGTGTTAAATTGTAATAAAAAATTCCGTATGTTCAACTTGTTATCTTGCAGAAAGAAAGAGAGAAACGCGTTTTGCGTTATCTTATAAATACTCGATGATATCGCACGCTGGCCGAGACAAGTAAAGATTTTTCATGTGACTTTTCTCTGTGTGTTGTAAAACCCGTTAATGATCTCATCGTATTTCAGTAATGAGCAGAGAGAAAGAGAGGAAACAAATTTACGCACCCACATAATCCTTCGTTTTAGATAGGAATATACGGCACCGTCTAACTAGTATACATAGACGCAAGCGCGTCAGCGACAGACGACGACGGTGTGTCTCATTTTCAGGCGGTCTTTCAAAGAGCTTTCCGACGTGGATTTAATTAATATATACCAAACTTACTCCCATTTTATTACACAAAGGAAGGAACGGGAAAAGCTTTTGTCCGCATTATTAAATTTGATCTGTCCTCGCAAATTGAGAGAGAGAGAGAGAGACGTCTCTTTCTCTCTCTCAATAATAAAAATACATTTCTCAATAAAATATAAAACCGACACGCTAAAGCGCTCGAATGAACTTAGTGAGCAACGTGAGAATTAAATCAACTTCTTATCGCTCGGAGAACTTTGGATCTGTACCGTAATACAAACTTCGTCAACTCGTTATAACACAAGAAAATCTCTACAACTCGAATTTTGTCTTCGTTGTTCTTCCTTTCTATTTCTGTCCAAAGTGAGTTTTAAAACATTCTGCAATTATCTCTCTAAGACAAATGTGCTATAAACAAACAATAAGAAAGTACTTAAGACAATGTGAATTGTGAATGATTAATATTCGTATGTTTAATATAAATTAGTTTTTATTTAGTAACGTCACAATGTGTGTCGTTTATCTTTAGCAGTTTCTCGAGGAGAAACAAAATGCGCAAAGCTCGCTCGACTCGCGAAGCGCAGCCAGTTAACAAGCGCAAGTTGTATCGCGTGTTTTGTTTATTTAGTCGCGCAATGACAAATGGCATGTCGACAAGACGCATTCATCATTCGTATGGCGTTATGTTTCTATTGTGCGCCGTCGCGTATCAGCGCATCAGCGCAATAAGATTTTACAATGGTCGGGAGAGAGACGGTTATTTCGCCGATTATCCGTTCGCATTATTGCTTAGATCGTATTACGATAGCGATAAACCCGGCTTTATTTTCTCGTTGCAGTCTCTGCTCTGCAGAGTCCGGAGTTCCGTATTGCGCGTTCTCTCTCTCGTTCGAATGTTCCGGCTTTCGTGTTGCGCGCGCGTTACCGCGCGCGTAACACACGCGTTCGTGCGCTATCGTTGCACAGCTCGCCCCGTCTGATTTGTTTGCATTGTTGATGCTGACAATACGCAACGTGAGCATTTGTTTGCACACACACGCGCACACACGCGATTTGTCTCGTAGACCACGCCACGCATCTAATTATGCATGTCAACGGATCCTTCGCTTCCCCCCTCGTTCGCGTAACGAGCGTCGTGCGTTTGCATCTATACGCGTAGATTTTCGTCGTGGGCGGAGGAATGAACTTTCCCGTGCATAATTTAATGCAAATCAGACGATTACTGCGTTTAGTTACTTAAGACATTTACGGGTATATTACTCGTTAAAGTTCTAAAATTGCTCGGGACGTTATTTTCCGGAAATTTGCGCAATTGTTTGGGGAGAAAAGTCGAGATTTTATATTATTCTGGAGAAAATAAAGAAAAATAATAATAATTAACGCGGGCGTGACGCGGAAAAAAAAATTTATTTTAATAACGCGCGCTCATCGCGCAACACTGTAATTCGAGTACAACTTTGTTTCTTCCTTGATGCTCAGAATTTGTAAAATAATTAATTGCTTTTAGACTGCAATAAGATGTAAGAATTATAACGTGATTGACGTTTTTAATTCGAATCGACACATTTTGTGTGTTTTGATCGAAGCGCTTTCTCCACAAACACGAGCGTCAGCGAGCGGTTCCGTGGTGTAGCGGTTATCACGTCTGCTTTACACGCAGAAGGTCGCCAGTTCGATCCCGGCCGGAACCATTATTTTTTTTTTATTTTTTTTTTTTTTTATTTTCAGTTGCAAATGTATACAAGTTTCAATGTAATTACAACAACCTTGTATCGTTAATTAATTGAATTGCCTGCATCTGATAATTAGAATAAAAATAATTGCGATAAAATTAGATTGAGAGATACATTTATCGCGCGCGTAAAAAGATCTTTCCTCTCTTGAATATTAATGTTGAGTAAAGCGAACGCGTTTAACGCGACCGTTTCGTCGCATTAACGTCACTTGAAAACTCTCTTCTGATTCCAGATATCAACGTGACGGGTCGAGTGAAAAGAGGTGCGATGTCGTAGTCGTCGTCGATATGAACGAGAGCCGGTGCTACACGGATTCGCCCGTGCTCGTCGAACATCAGGCCTTCAACCGTAATGGGAAGGCGCTTAGGTACGATTACCATAAAGATTGAAGACCATTCGAGCTCGCGCGCGCTCCACCACGCTGCGAGTTTAATCGTCTGCGACAGGAACGGGCGTTGATCGCGCGCACTGATTTATGCGTCGTAATTGAAGAGTGCAATTCGAAAACGACCTCTCATAGATTCTATTAGCTTGTGTGTTTCGATGCGATGCAACGACGTGATTTACACACGTTATATAGAAAATAAACGTACGCGGTCCGCGCTGCGAGAGAAGCGACGCGTTATCTTTCCTGACGCGATTTAGAAATTAAATATATGATATTTGTTAATTTGTTAAAAGATTATACACGACTTAATTAACACACACAGAAAGAGAGAAAGAGAGAGAGAGAGAGAGAGTAAAATTCGCAGTAAACGAATACACACTCGATCGTTTGATACGCACATCTTCGGATTTTCTTTTCACGGTAAACTCTCCCGCTAGTAAACTCCCATTACGTTCATTACATCCCGAACCTTTCTCTTCCTCTCCAACACGCTATCATCCGCGCTGTCGCGCAGATAGTGTCACGGGAGGATGTCCGATCAGATTATCAATTGAATTACAGTCCTCGGCTAATCAGATTATGTTGCGGGTTATATCCCGACTCACGTTCGCGTCCCGTAAAGCAAGCTTAAACGCTAAAGCGCCAGATCCCGCTGGCGCTTCTTGTCATCTGGCCGAGACACTAACGAGGGTTGATTTCAGGGGATCTAAGAAAAGCGTGCTGTTCTATACGACCGACTGCGGCGACGAAAAGGAAGACCTGAATCTTAAACTTCAGCAACGGTCCGTCTCGTTGGTAAGTTACGTTCGCGCGTTAATATACGCGTTAAACTCCAAACGGTGCGCGAGCCGCGTACACACACAATAATAATTTTACACGCGTCTTTTCTGCTTTGCAAGAACGTGAACATGTGTTTCGAGAACGGCCGCGGAAAGAAGATCGAAAGAAAGAAGCGAAAAAAATATTTAAGCGAAAAGCGCCACTGATTTTGTTATTGTTTTATTTGAGAAACGAGAAAAGGAAATAGTAAGAAAGAGAGAAACCTGAGAATAGTGCGTCACAAATTGGAAAGGTTTGAAATTTGAAAAAAAATATCGAGATATAACGTGGGTTCAGATTGCGGAACACATATACACACACATACACGTTATTGCTGCGCAGTGATACGCGCGTGAGAATCCTTACCTCCGGTTCGAGAAATCATAATTCTCACGGACACAACAATCGGGATCTCCCGCATAATTTTCGTAGAGTTCTCGTGCTCATCGGCCGGCACGCATGGTAATCGCACGGTGTTCGCCTCGGGCGTCTCTTGTGGTCACGCCCTTTCGACAAGATACAGACGCGCCGTATAGACGATTCGAAGATGGAAAAGCGCGCGGGATAGACGATACTTTCGAGAAAAACGAGCAAACACTCTATATCGAGTTTCATTTTTTATTTTTTTTTTTTTAACTACGAAGCAACTTCTCTTGAGAAGCAGAAGACATCAACTTCCAAAGCAGATTGTTTTTTGTTTGCTATCAAGAGATGCGAAGTACGATATTTTCGATGGAATTGAATTTTTTTTGTGTGGGGAGAAAATTAGTAAATCTCGTTATTACGCGAGAAGGCACGCGATCCATTACGCGCGTGTCGATTTCTTGCTCGTCTTACACGTACCTACGTCAAGCCTGACTTGGTACTTGATGCGTGAAATAGCGGTAATGGCGCACGCACGTTGTATCGAGCTTGTTTATGCACGCATAAGTCTTCCGAAGCGAATAAACTGTTAGAAGACGCGCAACTTACTACAGCTGAGATTGTCGAAGGCGAGTAGACGCACCGAACACGTTGTTAGCGAGAGAGAGTGACCGTGCAGATGTTACCGCTAAGTAGCAAAGTCAAGTTTTTTTGTATAACAAATAATATACAAAAAGACGATCTTTGCCAAGCAGATACGTACAGACTGACGTACTCGACTGTCTTACAACAAGTTAAAAACAAAAATTGATGTATTTTTATCTTCTTTTTTTTTTATTTTCTAAAAGATTTTTAAAAAGTTTTGGACACGAGTGTTGGGTCTCTCGCGCGATCCATGTAAAATTTAAACGAAACAAGCGGAGGAGTGGCCCAAGTTCGGACGGCGAGTTGTTCGCGTCGAGGGAAACATAATAACCTATCTCAAAAAAGAAAAAAAAAATATAACGAATCGAATCGCGTGTTGGATGCGCGATGCGAGACCTGAAAATTGGTCTCCTCCCGGCCGGCACGTAACGCGCGCCATGAGCTTCGTGAGAGATACATAGCTAACTGTATCCTTCTCATCTCGAGTTACTCACGCCTCGCTTTTCCAACGGCTCTTTCGAGGTCGTGTAATAATTGTTATTCCCGGCCGTTCAGCAATTATATAGCGAACCGTGCGTCTCGTTTCGCGATTGTTTCATTGTCGCGCGCGTCAAGAAATCCTGTAATTCCGTTTGTAAAAAAAAAAAAAAAAAAAAAAGAGCGTATAATAATGACAGCGTCGTGACGAGAGCAACTTCTGCAGCGTGTCGCTCGGAGAAAACTACTCGCGATATCTCAACGCGCTTACAATTTGTTTGTTTGTTTGTTTGTTTGTTTTTTTTTTTAATCTAAATAATAACATCTTTTGTATCCACACACGCACGCGCGCGCACACACACACACACACATTAAAGTATGTCGTGTTGAATGTTTTTATTGTTAAATCACCGTTACGCGTAATTACTTTACGTGTTATTACATTTCCTGTATCAGTGTCTTGTTGGCTTTTTTCCCCCTTTTCTGTGCATATCTGCAACGCTCCTTTTGGTATTCTTGCGAACTCACATTGCTCCGAAAGAAACGACGAGGCACATATGTGTGTGTGTGTGTGTGTGTGTACATACACGTATGTACGCGCCCATCCGCCTACGTTTTCTCTTTCCTTTTCTCGCAGTTTCCCATTTTTTCCTTTTGCGTTCCCAGCTCAAAGGCGTCGAGGAAGACCGCAAAACTTTCTTCCGCGGACGACGTGCCGACAATAAGCCGGCACGGAGAGTTGTTTGTGTGGAACCAAAATTCGTCCGAATTTTTACGCAGCTAGTAAAATGCGCGATGAATATTGCACAAAGTAATCTGTTCGCGCGCGGGAAAAGCCGGGAAGTTCCAGCAGCGCTTCTAGATGATATTTTTTGTGAAGCGACTTCAATCTTCTTCAAAAATTTCAGCAGAGTAGTTTTGCACTGGTTCGTGGAAATACGATTTCTCTGGACCAGAAATATCCGTTGGGAATGAAGTAGATTCGAATTAAAAATTCGTGTAATTCGACTCGAATTAATTAACAAAATAATAATTGCGCACACATCAGCGGTTTTGTATCTCCTGTAAGAAGAGAATCGCGCGTTTTTACGTCAACATCCGTTTTATCGCGATGAAACATCTCCGTTCTCGCGAGTTTCGAACATTTTAGCAGTCACCGAAACGACGATTCTAGAGACTCAATTATTTGTGCCGGCGCGACAGGTTTCAATTAGCGTCTGATCAAACGCCGCTCTCCAACGGCGCGTTCCAACTGGAATAGTTCCCATAAAGTAGAGGTCGAAAGTCAAAGCGTTAACACGCGCTTCTCGTAAACCATCTATGAATACGACATGAAACGTAAACCTGGAAATTTAATAATGTCACGGGCTACGCAGAGGCGGCGTAAAATCTGTCGCGCCTAATCGCGGAAAGTTTCGAGAGAACGATAAAGTACTAACAGGCGAGTTAATTAGCATTTTCTTCATTATGTCGTGAAATAATTATAACGAAGATATCAGAGACGAAAAGGATTTTCGTTATTTATTGAGCTGGAGGACGCAAATATTGCGACGCAACAATAATTTTAAGCAGCAAAATTTGTTGAATCCACTTAATTTTTTGTTTCATCGACTGAACGTCGTTTTGTTGGCAAATTAAAAAATTCAATAAAGCTTAATTTTTCTCGCTGATAATTTTCTCGCTATATTCTTGCAAATATATTTTTTTTCTCGTGTGCAAAAGCTACATATCGATTTTATTGCGACTTAAAATAGAATCTGCGCATTTGTGCGAATAAAAAGAAAAGACGAGATAAGCATCCTTGATTCCGATAACGAGTGCGAACAGTAATAATTATCGCTTGCGGGTGTCGTATATCCTCGGCCGCTGAAATTCTATCGTTTTTAGAAAACGTTACGGTCGCCACACGGGTGTCGGCTTACATCTCCGACGAAGACGTCGGAAAGCTGCGGTTTGCGACTGCGGTTTGCGCGCGAATAACTTCCTTCTTTTTACCACCGAAATCCGTTGGCTCTTCTCTCTGCGCATGATCTTCTTTACTCTTGGTGTACCTACCTATAGCAATATTGTGTGATCCGATAAAACTGATTGTTTTAGACCGCGCTGCACACCGGAGTCGGCAGCCAGCAGCAATTACTGGAACCCAGGATGGCGCAGCTGGAAACCTTGGAGGCTAAGGTAAAAACTGTGCTTCGAACTTTGAACGAATTTCCGTTAATTTTTCTGAAAATTAACGAAGACTCTGAAAATATTAATTTGAGCCAAATTAAAATGGCGCAAAAAACCTGTACAACATTCTCGAGCGACATAAACCTCTCTTTTTCTCCCTTTTGATTTTCGTACTCTTTTTTTCTCTCTCGAGTCCGTCGAGGCATGTGTATGGGAACCGTTTTTTAGTGGAGGAAACCGAAGGCGATGTTTCGCGGTTATTGGCGGGTCGGCGTTATAGCCGCGATGGCTTCTTAAGCCTGTCCGACCGGTGATTTATATGCAGATGCGTGAACCAAACTCCGTTTCATCCGGGGGTCCTCGGACAAGGACGGGAGGAGGGCGGGAGAGAAGGTATAGGGTCTCTGTGCGCGCATCGGTACCATTAAAACTGTGTCCCGGTGCTCGTGCGCAAATGTCCAGTGGCGCAGCATCCGCAAGAACCTCTCTCTATCTCTCTCTTTCTCTCTCGGTTATTGCTGAGATGCTAACGGAGATTGAACTTGAGTTTTTTTTGCGACAATGCTTTTACTTTTTTTTTGTATCGTTTAAGTAATCGGATTCCTCACGCTCGGTTGTGGAGACGAAGAGGCCGATTAAAGATTACGCAAGCCGCGGTACACACCACGTCAGGTACTCGTTTCTCAATTTCAACATTTTTTCAAGATCAACAGTTTTTTCTTTCGATTTTCCACTTTAAAACAAAGATAAGGAGTTAAAATTTTCAATACTCGAGAACGTGTCTATTTTTACTTCTCTCCACTTCTCTCTGTTTTCATGTATAATTCTGCTGCGTAAATAATAAAGTCTTCTACCGAAGACTCGTCTTAATCTCTTAACTTTTTTTTTTTTACTCTCTTTTTCAAAAGCGACGACATCGAGTCTCCATTTACGCGCACTCACTTCTATCTACAACGAAATTGCGTTTCGATAAGTATACAAAGTTATTACTTTATCATCCGCGCGTTCGCTAAATTCTTCGTTCCGTGCAGGTCTAACACCAAGGTCCCGTGCCCCCGTCGTCGGAGTGTGTTCGTCGAGAAGCATTCGAACGATCCGGTTTCCAGCGTCGTTAATGCATCGGCCATATTTCCAGTCGTTCCTTGTAATTTGACGTCGATCCAGCATCGGTTGGCGTGTTGTAGAAAATTGCGGCGCGTTCCGACGGCGAATATTTGCGCACAAATCCCGCGAATTCCGACTTTTGAAGATCATTGCCGTTTCTCTCTTTCTCCTTCTCTCTTTCAATGACGAATGGAAGACACGCGGGCACAAAAGATGTGCGCCAAATAATACCGTTCCCTCTCTCTCCTTCTTTCTCTCTCATTCTGTCTCTCTCTCTCTCTCTCTCTCTGCGACGATAAAACCTGAAGATGAGAAAAAAAAACCGTATTTGTACGCGTCGGAGAGAGAAAACGCTTTTCAAAAGCGCTTCTAACTTGTCCAATACGAAACTCATCGCGATATTCACTCTCAACGACTTCACGAGACATGTAGCTCTCGCAAGGCGAGGAAAAAAAAGACAAAAAAAAAAAAAAAAAAAAAAAAAAAACAGAAATAGACTTGATATGAATAATGAAAAAAAAACGTCGAGAAGGTCGTCACACGTTCATGTTGACAGAAAGTATCTATGAGAACAGAAGAGAACGGTTGTTTTCTCCGAGTGGAAGAGAGAAATTCTATTCGATCTCTGACAAAAATACTTCAAAAACTTCAATTTTAGTCTCGATGCATTTACCGCCTCGCAAGAAAAAAAAACATTTGAAGAAGAACAGCGTGCTTTGACGCGATGTATAGATTTCGTTTTTCATCATTAGAGAAAGAGAGAGGGAGATATTCTATTTCGAGCTCTCCCCGTTTTCTACTACTAATTTTCGAAACCTTCGCCGTAAAAAAAAGTTGGGTCATAATACGCCCTTGGGCTCAAGGGCCCAGACAGATCTGCCAGGCAGATTGCGGTCCCGGGAGTCACTGCCCTTCTGCTGTCTGAGCGATACTTTCCACCAAGTTCTACTTCCACCACCTCGACATTACGCTTTTTGATATAACTCCGGTGATGCGAACTGAAATAAAGATAGAGCACAGTAAACGATTTTCAAAAAATTGACGTATTAGTTCAAAAAATATTTTCAAAACGTAAAACTAAAACGTGTGAATAAAGAATAATTTTCTGCTCGAGAAAATTGAGATAAAAATTTGGTCTTCAAAGATATCACTTCAAGATAAATCCAGATAGAAGCGCAGTGTGTCTTTTTTTTTTTTGGTTAAAAGAACGGTGGAAATTGTTGCAATAAGCGGTAGATTGCGTTTGCAGAGATCGACGCCCCCGAGCGCCGTGTCTCCGTAATGTCGGCCCTCTTCCATGCAAATTCCGCAATAAATTTCCGCATCTTGCGTGCTTGCTGTTTTTATTCCTTTGTTACGTGTGTGTGTGTGTGTGCGCGCGCGCGCAGTTGCGCACCAATGAGAAATTCGTGGAATGCCTCGCGCGGTTTTGCAGCCCATTTGTTTCTTACTTTTGCGCAAGCTGTAGAGGTGTTAGATACGATCTGCGGAGGTAACAATCGCAATCGTGTCTCCATTATCTCGTTATTTAAGACTTTGGACTGGTACAAAGCTACATTGCTTCTTACTTATACATCGCTATCAATCTTTTTCGTGAAAAAAAAAAAAAAAAAAAAAATTACTCGAGAGCGCACCAAGAAACGGAAGCGCTATAACTTTGTTCGTTTAACTAAACAATCAGAGATACGTTTTTGCTCTCGTTAGGGATTTGTTTCATGAACGAATCTGTTTCCTTCACATTCTCCCTGATCCAGAATCCGAGAATAGAAGGATATCAACGATCGACGTTTGCGTCGATCTCGTCGATCAGAGAACGTGCGCAGAACTAAAGCGATGGGAATCGACACTTTCGAGAGAGAAATTATTGTTCGATTTCGATCCAACATGCGCGCGCGCGTGTACACGCTCTGCCTTTCGTGAATTCTCTCTCGCCCCGAGATAAAATGTTAGCATCGATACGTCTCGCGCCTCACGAGTAACTTGACCGTCGAGAGAGAGAAAGAGAAGGAGAGCTCATCTCTTCTCTCCGCTTCAATGTATTCCAAGACAAATGTTCCTATCGATGCGAGCGATGCATCGTATCTTGCTGTGCGGTTAACTTGTTTCCCTCTGGGCTATACGTTGAAATTTTTCTGTCGCTTCGCAATTGGCGACGGTTTTTCATTTATCTTCCTTTTCTTTTTTAACTCACGCGTTAATAAATTGATGTTTTATCGCAACGCGCGCATCATATCTCGCGCGTAAAAAGAAAAACCAGCAGAGCATTAATGTAATAAAAAAAAAAAATAAAAGAAAAAAAAAACATGGCAAAGACTTTTTGAATTGTTTTACAAAAGCGCGAAGAGACGAAAAATTTCAATCGTTGCGAATGGAACACCGCAACGCATTCTGCAATAAATGCGTCAAACACGCGCGTTATTTATCGAGAGATCGGTGCGATATATCTTTTATTCATGCTATAAAAACAGAAACACGAGAGATCAGAGATTTACGGTATCATTGTTGCACATCTTTGACATCACATCGGTGGCGAAAAAAATCGTGTTTTATGGAAAGCAGATACTTGACGACAAAGGCCACATGCAAAGAGAATCTTTTGTTAACCCCTTACGTAGGCTGAGATACGTGCGTGAATACTGAATACATTTCGCATGAACTTCGCGCTGACCTCTCCTCCGGTCGAGGAAAACACAGAGAGATAGTCTTCCTAGGCGAAGAAACTTTCTTCTCTCCGAATACTCTCTCGACACTTTCGATCGTTCGCATCGAAATTAACATTATAAAAAAAAAAAAAAAAAAAAAAAAAAAAACCATCAGATTAAAAATCATTTTCAAAGTTTTGCATTTGAGTGCGGGTAATTTATTGCAAATTGAATCGATTTACGCGAGTAATCGTGCATTCACAAGAGAAATTCATTCAAGTTTTCATTTTGTCATATGATTTGACAAAAATTAGCGCGTTTACGTCACGCACTTACGTATGTGAACAAACATTACGAGTAGGTTTTGCAATACGTGACGCGCACGTAATACATTCTTTCTATTGAGCGAAAAGGCAAAGAGTGTGTCTTTTGTTACTCACGGAAGCGAGGAAGTCACCAGAAGTACGTTCGCGGCGATTACCGTGAACAATTTCTACTACCGCGACGTTATTGTTCTCGAGGTAGGTACTCGTACGGTTTTTACGTGCCGCGGGCACACACCACCACTCGGCGCCGTGGTTGTTTCCGGGATCTCGAAAGCGGCGGTCTCAAGATGAGAAACCATCCGCTTTCTACGGAAAAAGGAAATGCGCGTCTCGAAACGCTGAAAATAAGTTTACATTGCGATTAGATGTTGCAAAACTGTTGCAAAATAATTCACTTTTTGACACAAGACGCGGTACAATTCGTAAAATTATCGCCAAGGTAATTGTGCAAAAAAAAAGTTCGCTCTTACACAACACTCACACCGCGAAGAAATTCTCTGAGCGCGGACCGGGAGAGAAAGTAAAAAGATATTGCACGTCGTCGTTACGCTCGCTGCTCTTAATCAAATTGGAGCCGTGTAACGATGATTACGTATCCGCGGTTAATAAAGGGGTCAAAGTTGCCGTATCTTCCCGAGAGACTGCACCACATCGTTCGCGTTAGGCAGAATTAATAGCCGAACTACATCTTGATTACTCTCGCTAATAACAAGATCATTATCCAAGGTCATTATTTGTAGACGCGGTTTCTCGTTCCGCGCGTTTTCTTAGATTTACCGTAGAGATCAATAATTTAAAAAAAAATTCAAGATTTAATTTCCACAAATCGTTTTTTTCTCAAGTAACGGTATTTCCCTCGGCTTCGGGACGAGCTGTTACCGCGTTATTTTCCGCCATAAGCGGATGTCGGTAGCCAGACGACATCACACACACACACACACACACACAAGAAAGAACCGGGAGAGCTCTTTCTCACGCGGTTGAGAAATTTCGTGCCGAGGGCTCGTTTACCGTACGTATACGCTCTTCTCTCTCTCTCGGAAACAAATGCACATGGAGAGATCCACTTGATGTTAAAGTCAGTTTCGGTGCTGAGAGTTTATAACCCGTGGCAGAACTCTCGGGAAAAATTGCTAGAAAAAAATCCGGAATCTCGTTTGAATCGCGCGCGGCGTCGACAAACGGAGTTTCCACGACTTTAGATAGCGCTTCTTCGGTTAATCTGAGAAGAGAAAAGAAAGATATGATAAATATATACAATTTTTCACATGTAATAAAATAAAAACAAGATAAGTCAACAAAGAATATGTTTAAAAATATTCTCACGTTAGAAAAATGCGCATTATCGTTACTCTCGAGCGATTATACTGCGCTACGTTAGTTCGCGCGGTCTTAATGAAGAAGAATCTCGTCGATTCCCGCGCGAATTCGTTCCACGTACCTCACAAGACAGAACTTGCGAGTCAAAGGCTTTAAGACCTTCGACCCTCAGGAGGTTCGAAGTCACGATACCGCGCGCGCGGTCCTTGATACATGGTCCTTGAGAGAATACGCTGTCCCTCTTGGCGATGCAACAGAGGTCGATGTTTCCTCTCGTCGAGTGTGTGCCCTCATGATGGGAGGCAGATACGATATGGGAATATCGTGGGCATAGTGTCTCGGACGAGACAACGGACCACCAACCGGACGTCTCCAAAGCAACGACGATGAATCGGATGTGCGCATCTATTCCCGCGAGAACATCTACCGCCACGACTTGCAGATCTCGCCGCGGTTCACAATTCAATGTTGCTTTTTTTTTTTCTCGTGTAAGACAAGAAATCGATGTATCATCCGCGCCATTATATTAATCAACGAGTCTTTGTATTTAATCATCATAAAGATTAGAACGTGTGCTATGTGATTGTTAAACTTTTATTTAAAAAATATAATTATATCATAAATAAATCAAATTTCTGTAATTAAAAACATTACTTTTTACTATTTACGTTGATAAGATAACAACCACATGAATTTCAACTCTATTTTTTATTCTGGACGACTCAGGAGACCACATTGCATATATATTAACCGTTTGACGATTAACAAAGTAAAAAAACATTACTTATAATGTTTAGATAGAAATGTACTTTCCGGAATTGACGTGGGAGATAAAGAAGAAATATTTTAGTTTTAGTCACTGTCTTACTTTTATCATGACAGTCTCTTAATTTCTTCTGTATCAGAATGTTATTATTATGGTTGAGAAGAAACATCCGGTTTGCAATCGATTTTCTGCTCACAAGCCCGATCTAGTCTCGGGGACGTACTGCGCTCGGGGGAAAAAGAGCCTCACATCCGTGGACTCTCTTGTTGCATTCTCCTTTAGGACCGGCATTGACCTTTCTGCGACGGTCAGCGAGAGAACCCATAGGTGCCGCTTTCTCTCTCAAGGAGTATCAAGGCGCGTCGTCGTGTTGCGGTTACGTGAAATCCCATTAAGACCGAGATGTCCCGTCCCGACTGTCGTCGCAAATCATAAATTTAATGAAAGCGACAAATTCTCGTATTCATTCCGCGTATTCAGTCCTTCTTCAACGAACTCCCGCTCTCAATCTAAGTCGTATCCCATAAGTGTTGAATCGTCATAAATGTCGAAAAATGAGAGCTGAGGGACAAAACCGACCACGATAAGAACTTACGAGTAGGTCGGCTAAACTTGGGATTTGGATTATTAATAGTGTGCGATATTGTAACGACGGCTACACGTTTTTCTCGCCAGCTTTCTCCCGGGAATATTACCGCAGCGCGAAGAAAGGTAAACGTTTCTGAATAAATGAACACACAAATACGCATTACAAAGATGTGCGCAACGAAATTTCATCAACGTCTTACTATTTTTCTTTTTTATGCGCAAAAATAAACCAAGTTATTTATTTTCCCGAGTAAGAGAAATTTCCCTGGAAAAACTTTTGCGCCACAAGTTGACTAATAATTCTGTAGAAATTATTTAACGAGTTGTGTTTTAAAATTTTAAAGTCACTAAGAGACTCCCCACAAACTTTTCCGCACTATCACAGCAGGGAACAACGAGTTGCGGTGCGCAGATAACGGATAGTTTAGAATTTTCCACCGGCACGGATAGTTTATAAATATTCATGTCCGAGAAATTGTTAGTACCTTCATCCTGTGAGATCTATACTCCTCGTCGTTAGATAAATTACTTAGCTTGTTTACACGCAAATACGAAAGTTTTGTCCGCCTCTCTCTCTCTCTCTCTCTCTCTCTCTCTCTCTCTCTCTCTCTTTTTCTCTCTCTCTCTCTCTCTTTTTCTCTTGCGTACAACATATCAATTATATCAAAAACAATAAACTATTATTTTTTAAGTGAATATTTAATTAACTGCTTCTCAGGAAAACAATCGATTGAATAGCGTAGCGTTGAGAAATATCTGAACTTGTTGTGCTTCACCGATTTCTATTTTGAATAATTAATTTAATTAATTAATTAATTAAATATATATAAGTTTAATATATATATATATTAAATATATACCTTTTAATTAATTAAATACATATTATCTGCGTTGAAGATGGCCAGTATAGAAGTGTCGCTTTCAACGACGCCAAGAAGAAAAAAAGGCGGTAGTATTTCCGGAGGCGTTACATCCTCTACTGGCCACAGGAACAGGGATCATTATAAAGAATTGGACGCTCTTCGAATTGCTCTGCGTGACAAAGAAAATATCATACAGACGTGAGTATAATTGGTGGCTTGTATTTGTTGTTGCGTCCTTGAAATTTGCGGCATGGGAAAAGGTCTCGTCTTACGGCAATATCGCATATCAATCATCATGTTTCGTGCGTTGATTATTATAGATATTTTAATAATAATAATAATACGAACTGGAAGATATACGTGCGAAATAGAACGCAGAGCAAAACCTGTTCTCTCTTTCGGTCGTCACAATATTATATATATATATATATATATAGAGTTTTTGCCTTTTGTTATTTTTTTCAGACTCAAAAGTCAGCTCTGTAATACGCTGAGCAATAGACTAGCATTACGCAACGGCGCGCCACCCTTGACCGAGGCCGACAGAAAAGCGGCCGAGGAACGGCTTCAAAGGTTGCGACGGGACGCCGACAATAAGCGGTTGGCCATTAAGAACTTGAAGCTAGCGCTCGAGAGACTTGATATTACGGAGTAAGTATGAAATCAAGATTAGGCGCTTATTGAAACGCGGATTATCGTAAATCATGATTAACGGTTAAGCAACAACGCGTCCCTGAGAAATATACAACGTAAAAACATATACACAACAAAAAGAAATTACATCTATGTAGCAATCGGTTTTTTATATGTACATGTAGTAAATAATTATTTTTATATGTAGTAAATTCGAGAAAAATTGGACCACGTTTCTTTCAGTAATATCGACGTTCGAATACAACAAGCGGAATTGGAGTATAGACTGGGTCGCGAGGAACTCGAGTTGCTGACTCTTCACGAGGAGAGCAGAGCTCTCCAAGCTGCATTGGAATTGGCTGAAACTCAAGAAAAACAAAAAAATGACACGATATTCAGGTAATAAATGCAACAATTTGACGAATATTGAAATTTAATATTAAATTAAAATTAAATTAATTTTAATATTTATACAATTGTTTAATCGCGCGTTCTAATTCTTACTCGACTCGCAGCTGCATTTCCGGCTCGACGCAAGTTACAATCCACGCGGTGGAAGTAAGCGCGGATCCGAAAAGTCCGCGTTTCGGAGCCGGACCTAGAGAAGACGCGATCGGTCTCTACGTCGATTGGGCCGTGGAGGATTCCGGACTTTGCAAAGGAGACAGGTTCGCAATATTGTTGGGAAAAAATAAAATCGCACTGTATTTCATTCTGAATTTGGTTCGGTCGTTACCAACAGAATTCTGACACAGCGTCAACTTCAGAAAAACGGAGAAATATGTCGAGGAACTTGTGGTATTTTTTATGACGATAGTAGTACTACTACGTAACGTGGCTCTATCGGGGTAGAACAATGCGGCAATCTTGACATTCCCAACGGATCGCTGTAGCGTGAAGCAGCAGCGGAAGTTCGCCGTGTGCCCTCGTTAATTGCACTCACGACTTCACATGACCCCACCTTCCACCATTTTCCCTAATATACGCAGGAGAATTTGCTTTGTCAGGCTAGCGTTTCACAGTTTCTTACCGTTCAAGAGTACGCTCCCTTTTTTGCGCTAAATATTTTGATTCAAAGCGTTTTGATTTGTTTGTTTTACACATTAATTTTCGAACAACCTGCATTCAAAATTTGAATTCGATCGCGCGAACTTTAAATAAACGATTAAAAACAAAAATATATCGATTAACATTTTCTTCAGGATTTTGGAAGTGAACGGAAAACTAGTAGTAGGAGCGAGCCGAAGCGATTTGGCACGGCTTCTGGCCGTTACACCCGACGCTGCGCAAATAGTGGTCCTTCGAAAAAGCGAGTCCTTGGCAGCGCTGCGCACGCTCCGTTCCGACAATCTCAGACTGACGCATAGAATCGGTTATCTTGAGGAGCAGGTCAGAGATCTCTTAGCGCCAAACAGAACAGAAGTCCTCGCCGAGGATCCATCTCCGAATCCTCGTCAGGAGCACGTACAAGTGCGTATATCGCGCGCGCGCATATCTAACTAATTTTAGATATAGATCCTATTTAAAAAATTCTAAATTGTTTTTGTGTCGTTTAGGTTTTTCAAAAAGGACCTCAAGTGACAGCGTTAGTAGCGAATTTACCCGGTCTCAACGTGAAAAGTTGTACGGAACTGCGACAGAGTCTACCAACCGTCAGAAATAAACACGGGGATCACTCCAGACGTCTGGCAGACTCAAAAAGTCCACTTGAACTCGATTTCTCATCCGACGGAGTCTCAAATGGCTACTACAAACCCCGAAATAAACAGAAACATCAAGGATTTCATCTAGCCAGATCGACGGCCAGCCTTGACTGCAGTAACACGACAATGCAGTCGCAAATGCAACGTCGAAAATCGCCGCGCATCGAGTTCGCGATGGAGCATTTGCACAAAGGTCGCAAGAACGCTCCGCACTTGCAATCCTTGGACTTCGACTCCGAGCCGACTTATTATCGTTTGCAGGTAAATTTCCCGCGGTAATAATTTAATCTTTTAGTTGCCAGGCATAAAAAAATTAATACCTAGTAGAGACACTGGTTTAAAGCTTTTGGATGGATCTCGGAGACCCATATCTGACACTGAAGGGTTAACAATCGCACTGAGAGAAAATGAATTCGCTCGCTTGGATAATATATAAAAAATATATTGTTTCAATACACATATAAACGTATTGTATGCAATTACCTTTCCCCTTTGTTTCAGGAGACGCAGTCTCGCGCATCGGAAAACTCGGAAGCATCGATATACAGTTCTCAGGAGACGAAGACTCGTCCGGCGCCGCCGAAGAAGCCGCTGCGACTCTCTCTGCATCGCGCGGCGAGTCTTCAGTCGGTCGAGAGCGCACCGCCGGCCACGCCGCAACACGACCTGGCGCGAAGACCCACAAAGAGAAATTACCGCGGCGATCCGCCCGCGGAGAAGAACGGATCTCAACTCGAAACGAACGGGGAGGCGATTTTGAATTCGCAAGAGTCTCATGTCAATCCGCCTCAGCCACCCCCGAGAACGCCCTCGAGAGCTGAATCGTGTCAGAGCGCGCTGCGATGGCCGTCACCGAAGCCGAGACCACATTTAACATCTGTGCAAATAGAAAAATGGTGCTGAACACTTACGATTCGGTTTAGCGAATCACAGAGAAAAAAAAACAACGTAGAGAATAAGCAGAGAAGTATTTTTCGAATCTATCCTTTTGAAAACACGCTTTTGTTTGAAAAGTATTGCTTGTACGTTTAATGCAGCTACTCTTTAGTAACGTAAGAATATATTTAATGACGCATTATGATATTATGTTACATCAAAGACGTATTACTTCGAAAGGATAAAATTTGAAATCTAATGACAGGTCGCAAAACATAAACACATGCGATCTCAGCAAACGTCGTGTGTTTTAATTTTGTTATTTTAATTTTAAGTAACATAAGTTTTTTAATCACTAAGATATACAGTAATGAACGATTGTCACGTGCGTACGCGTGTTTGTACGACAAAGTCATCCGTGACTTTTGATATTGAAACTAGACAATAATTCGCGAAAGAGTACAATTCATTTTGTGTTAAAATTACGTATCTCCTACATAAAGTTTTTGAGATCGATAAGTTTACAAAATATCATAATAAACACATATATATATATAAACAAATTATATATTTTATTGTAAAGCAATAAATACCATAATATCCAATTTTTCATATACATATTATCCGGACGCACTCGTGCGACAAAGTCGTGCCACCAGAGCGTGCAACTGTAACAAACTGTTAATACCTTCCACCACTCCCATGTGTGTTATACCAATTTCCTGCAAATATCAAAAGCAGTTTTAAGTCATACAGATAAATAAAAATAGGAACATTTTTAATTCTCTTTAGCATTTCTTTAAATAACAATAATTTTACATAAGTTTTTTGTTTACCTTAACAAATTGCAGTTTCAACTTTTCATCCATGGTGTAAGTTTTGCACACTCTGAATACGGTACTGATTATGTCTTCCGCGGAATATCCCAGTTTCCAGAAATGGTCCATTACCTGGTGTTTAATTATAAATTTATCGGTATAAATGTGACACATACACAGCTGTATTATTTTTTAACATGCATATTTTACCGTGCACGCTTCGGAAACATTTCCTTTTATGCAATGACTCAACATGTCTCTAACAACCAAAGGATGCGGTTCGTCGCAAACTTTAAATACATTTTCAGCATTCACGTGATTGAAACCGTTATACGTAGACTGTAAATTATTCAAGGCTTGTCTCATGTCCCCTTGAGCTGTGAATATTATCGCTTCTATTCCATCCTCTGTGTAGGAAATCTGTGAATAATTTTTTTGTGAATAAAATTGAAGCATTTATCAAAAGTAAAAACTATTTGTGTGTGTGTGTGTGATGATTACATCTTCTTTCTGGCAGACTTCGAGAACTTTTGCCATTATTTGGGCATCTGTTAGTTTTCCATATCTCAACATAGCGCAACGCGATTGTATAGGCTCGATAATCTCCTCTGTGTTGTTACACGCAAGGGCAAATCTAGTGGTATGACTGTAAATCTCCATTGTACGACGTAACGCTTGCTGCGCACCATCTGTCATACTATCTGCCTCGTCTAAGATTATGATTTTGTGCTTTCCTTTTGGAAGAATTACCTGTGGTTACAAAACAATTACACATAGAAAACATATTAGAAAAGAAAGATATATATCCTATAATTTATCACACATGTGTTTTACCTTTTTTTGAGCAAACATTTTGATTTTATTTCTGACCACATCTATTCCTCTCTCATTTGAAGCGTTCAGTTCAAGTACCGCTTCCTTGAATGCAGGTCCCAAAAGAATGCGTGCCAGACACAAAATTGTAGTGGTTTTGCCTACACCAGGTGGTCCAGCAATAATAATATTTGGAGTATTTCCATGTTGAGCAAAAACAGCTAATCTAGACACTGTATCCTCGTTACCAACAATGTCTGAAAACGTTTGCGGCCTGTATTTTTCAACCCTGCAAAACAATACCGATAAAATAATAAAATAAAATATTGTTTTATAAATTTATGTTACTTATACAGATTTCTCTGTTACTTGTACAAAACTAAATATGTTTTATACCTAAATAAATCATTTGATATTTAGTCGAAAACTAAACATAACTTAACCTATAGCAATAATAAAATGTAAGTGTAATCAATAGAAACAAAGCGTGCTTCGTAAGAAACAAAATATACCATGGCAAATTCAAGAACTTATTATCTTTCTCCTTAGTTTTCCCATTCTGATTGCTCGTAGACGGCAAACTTTCAGTTTCCATAGCCTCTACACTATCATCTCCCGCCATTTTTGAACCTACAATTGTCCGCAATGACGGCCGCGGCACATGTGGTTGGTGCAGAAAGTGTACGTTCGTTTTAAACGATAATAACAAGAAATTTATACTGCGTTCAATTTGAGAAGAGAATTTTACTGCGCACGGGGAAGAAAAGCGACCAAAGTAGAGATAGCGTTGCGTGCGGGATTGGTGGAACACCTGACAGCCAATGGCTGTGGAATAAGGAGACTTATTAGTAGGGAAGATGCGGGAAACGAACGAGTTTTCGTCGATTCGGTTTCTCTTCTCAAATCGAACGCAATATAGCGCTGACTTACAGAGCAGGAAACTCTTGCAGTTTTTCATATAGCCTTGGCCGCTCTCATTTTTCTCTTTGCTCCGATTGAATTAAAACTCCAATCTTACGACGTATGGACTATCCTTTCAGTCCACGAGCATAAATACATCAACTCCAATCTTGTGTCTCTCATCTGATCTTTGACACTTCTTCAAATATGGCGAGTAAAAAGTTCAGCGGATTGTACGTTTCTCTTGGCAAATTACATAAAGAAAGTAAATCTTGTGTAAAAGCCGCATTAACGCAACGCACATACGCAACAGCGGACGAAGGAGATACCAAAATCACTCATACTGGTCAAGTAAGACCGTGCTTACGTATTGGTTTTTTTTTTATTGTAAAATATGCATATGTGTGCGTGTGTATACTTCTATTTTATGTTATTATTAAATTTATATATCAGGTGTTCGAAAAAGATGACTATCGATTAATACGATTTTTGGACAGACCAAAAGAAGTTAATCCAAACTGGGCTATCAATCTGATAGACGAAGTTCCACCAGCCCCAAGAAAAGAAAGAATTGTATCTTGCGATGGCGGTGGAGGTCCACTTGGACATCCTAAAGTTTACATAAACTTGGTATAAATTTGCGTATATAATTTTATAAAAAATATGTGAAACTGTTGCTTTAGTTTTTTGTGTATCGTAATTTATGAACATATTTATATTTCTAGTTTCGTAACAATGTGTTTTGAAATTGTTTTTTTTTTATTCCTTTTTCTTTTTGTAGGACAAACCTGGCAATCATACTTGCGGATACTGCGGTCTGCGTTTTTACAAAGAGCATCACTAAATGTTTGAGCATTGTGTGTGGGTAGTTTACATTAATTAATTTATAAATTTTACTGGTGTAGCATGTGATGTTAATAAATGTTAAGTAAAAAAAGAGTGCTATGGCATATATTGTGAGTAAAAATGTACTATAAATGTAAAAAAACTAAATGTATAATAAAAGACTAAAGATTAGATTATATTCTGTTACTTTGTAAATATTTCGGAAGATTGTGCGTGTGTATCTGTGCAAAGAGCATAAGAACATTAGGTAATAAAAATATATTTCCTGGAAGTTTTATTTACTGCTTTAATTTAAGTTTATATTTCAAAAATGTATTTGCATTATTTTGTTTTGTATCTCATAAGGCCGTCTTTTGACTATTCATACTCAAGGGTATTGCTTGCAGTTCTGTTCTCATACAAAGAAACTCCCCACATACGCACATAATACTTAACGATACGAAATTCAGACACCACCAGCTGAAAGACGTGGGATACGTTCCGTTGTACACCCAGCAGCAAATTAAATGGATCCAGTGAGCTGTACACGCAAAGTCCATGCACAGTTTCGTTCTCTGCACTAGCCACCATAATGCAAACGCACCTACAAGTGCATTCAGAACAAACATAACAATAACTAATTGTCCGCCAAAATCTCGAACGTGTATCTCCTTATATTGAAAAGCGTAATCCAGCGATTTCGTGGATCCCAGCACCGACGCCACAATGCAGATCCAGAATCCAAGGCAGAAGTACATCACAGACTGCACCGCGATTATCTGGGAAATTATCAGAATCGGATCCCATGTTGTCTTGCGAAATTGTCCAGAAAGATTATTCATTCTGTGTATCATCTCTCAGAAACAAATGTTCGTTCAAAGAATAGAAGTTCTTCCAAGCGAACACACTCGGGTCTTCATCTTTTTCTGCAAAACAAATTCTGTATCAGTAAACTGCAATGTAAAGTAAAAAAAAAAAACTTTTCAAAGATAGAATATTTTACAGCAGGACTCACACATTATAATGAAAGATCAGAAGAGTTGATTAAATGCATATAAATAATCCATAAGTAATCCATTTTATAAATTATTTTTCAGCTACACTTCCAGATACACACGTAAATACGAGAGAAGGAAACCGTGAGAGCCAGTGATTGCATGACTAACTCACATGTGTTTAGACAATGGCATCATCAGTGTTGTTTTTTACTCCGATATTTATATGTGTGTGTACAGAAATACGTTTTTTCTCTATGAACAATATGTACAGTTATAGAAATAATCGGAAATAATAATTATTTAGTTTAAGATACTCGCGCGCAAACACAACAATCTATCATCTGACTGGGAATATCGTTGAATCAGCCATGCGATGCGCGACGTTTGACAATACTGCACGAGCGATTGTGGCGCTACATCTGTCAGCTGTGTGCGATAAACTTCGCAAGATCATTTTTGTTTACATACATGCAGTGTCAACTGTCATTTCTTTAAAGACTCATGAATAAAATAATAGTTTTCAAAAGTTTGTCTCAAAAAACTGTTTTAAATTATGTAACTTTTTCACACATTACAGATGTTTTTTTTTTTTAATAAAAAAATTTATCCGTGCGAATAACTTCCCTGCCATATGTCAGAAGTGTCTGCTGGCTCTCACGCTTTACGCGCATGAGCAAGTCGCATTTTTACAATGACGTGACGGCACTGACGGCGAGAGTGATGCAATTTCATACGTTTCGTACAAACGTAGCGATGAGAATTCTTCGCACAATTATTGGATAGCGTCGCGGTTTTTGAGAGATTTTTTCTTCGAGATGTCATTGTTCGATTACTTTCGAAATTTTCTCGGTGCGAAACGTCGCAACGAGCCTGGCACAAGCGGGTAAGACTTGATTGAGATTTGTACTTTAGAGATTTTTGTTGTTTATGTACACACACGTCACGGAATATTCTAGAGTTTTCTTTTTTCGAGAATAAATTTTCGATCAAAAAAGAGATTAACTGAAAACACAATAATTTTGACAACAAAATAAAAAAGTTTGGAAAAGCGTTTTTAGAAGTATCGAATGTAGCAGGACTTTTAATTTTTAAGAAAGTTTAGAGAGATGTTATGTTTTCACCTTATATTTCAGGCTTGATGAACATTATGCGCCGAGAGATAATTTTCGAAATCCAATTTGGCAGAGTGACGACGACGACGACGAAATCGACATAGATGAGTTCATGTAAGAAAAAAACATAAATACCATATTTAAAATGAATTGTGTTGAAACATGAATTTATTCTCAAATTCTGTTTTCTTCTTTCAGGTTTAATGGAAACAACATGCACTTCAACATCTTCAGTGATCCACTTGAAATGGCAAAGTATTTTGAGTCTCAAATGGACAATATGTTGAAGAATTTTGGTTTCGGACATAATAGCTTCTTCAGTATGTCTATCTTTTATATAACTGTTATATAAACACAGAGTACTGAAATGTTTTTAGTCACACCTAAATAATCATTTGTATTTATATTTTATATTTTTGCTGTTATAAAGGAATGCTTCCTGGTATAGAAGAAGATATTAAAGCACTACCATTTGCCGAACATGAACCTGAAAGAAATATAGATATAGACTTACGTGAAAAGATGCTGAAATCTAAACCCGAGATATTTGGCGAACAGAATCATGAACAAAAAATAGATACTGATGTAGATGGAAAGTAAGTGTATATACAAAATATTGTTTTATAACATACACACGATTGTATGTACAATCAAGTAAAACTTGTGATATATCTTCTGCAGAATTACTACAGAAGAATTTTCAAAACTGTGGAACAAGGGAAGCCTAGAAACTGTAAAACCTTCCGCGCCACATAGTTTTTCATTTGGAAGATCCGTTAGAAAAGAAATTGTACGAAATCCTGACGGAACTATAGAGGAAAAACAAGTAATCAGAGATAGTAAAGGTAACGAGGAAACAATAATCTCGAGGGTAATAGGTGACAAAAGATATGTTGTTACTACAAAGAAAGATAAGAATGGCTTTGAAACAAAATCTGAGGATTTGTTTAACATAGATGAAAGTAAGTACGTGAATGAAACTATACACTTTTGCACATGAAAATTATTTAGTAAGGATCTATAAACTTAATAATTAATATATATAATTGGGTTTTAATACAAGTTTAAATATTGTAATTTTATCATTACTTACGCACTTTATAGATCTTGATTGTGTGATCAATAAAATTTTGCAAATTACAGATGAACTTAAAGAGTTCACCCAAAAATGGAAACCTAAAAGTGATACGGATACCAACCAACCAATTCTAAGTCGTTTTCCATGGGACAAGTTTTTCGGTTTTCCTAATCCGAAATTGTAGTAACAAAATAAATAAAATCAATAGTTTTTAAATAGCTAAACCACACACATGTCTTATTCTGTATTATACGAGTATCAGTTTACGAGTTATTTTATGTAATTATGTTTCTCTTGGTTTCTTTCCATAATAAATAATAAGACTAGCGCATACTTTTCTATTTTATTGTAATTTCAATAATATACATAAAATAAAAGACAAATCTTTCCTATACAAGACGTCCTATTTTAAATAATACAGTAAAATATTCAAGAAAAACAATATTGCAAGAAAATAAAATAATACACATTTTCTTGTTTTATATGTATAATTTTCAATTATATCCATTATATTTCTTTCAAAATAAATAAATGACCTATTAATCTTAATAAATATTCACACATTATTTTATGCATAAACAGAGTCCAATGTATTATATCTATCTTTTATAAATTAATTTTTTACACACACTGCACGTGTTATATACACAAATTATAAACAATTTTATGAGTGTGTGCAGCTTCTTATAAAATAGTCGTCATTATAAATATCAAAACACCCCAGCAATAGAATATTCCCTAGTTTTAAGACATCTTTATGGTATTACATGGTTGAAGCAATATATATGCAATGATTATGGAGAGATACATGGTCGATAATAAATGATAATACCAATAACATACTATAAAACAATAAAAATACTTGAAGATTTTTTCCTAGAAATTGACAGTTTATACATACAATTCGTAAGACTGTGTTTATACATAGACAGATATTCATAATATACTTAAATATATGTATATGTATATATATAATTATTAATACACATTTCCTATATATATATATCATGTATAAAAGATAATTACTTTAAAGATTTACCACTTCAATTTTTTACGTTTTCTAAAATAAAACAATAAATTGTTGCCTATAACATATTATGCATATTGTAATTTATATTTTTAATAATTATATATATAAATTTAATATATATGTATGTACATTATAAAGAGAAATAACGTTGAATTATTTGTAATTTAGGCGTTAAAATTATTAAAATATAATCAGAAATAATATTAGAATATAAATTTCTATTGTTCTTGCGTATATACATATCTATATGTATATATATTGATATAATATATACATAGTATATAGATAAAGTATATAGATAAAGTATACCACTATATATATAAACATGTACATATATATATAGTGTGTACACATGTGTGTGTATGTAGGTAACACACCACACAATCAAAAACAGTATTTTAGTAGCAATTCTGGAGCCTAATTACAATCGGACGTTTTAATACAAAAATAAAATAGTTATAATCGAGTTTTCAGATTTTTTTATTTATATAAACTTTTAAAATTGCTTCTTGATTGAGATTTATATGCCGTAAGAAACAAATTTTAAAAAATTGATTTATTAGATATTCACTTATAAAATCCCTAACATATTTCTATTGTATTGTGAATCTTATTGCAAAAATTTCATGTCTTGTGTATGTAATATCTCTACAATTAAAATCGAAAACTTTTTAATAAGACACGAGAAAAATATACTGAAATAAATTGACATATTAACATAGAGTTTTTATTTTCATATATAATTTATATCACTTTATACAAAGTTTTTCGAGTGATGCATCTATAAACATCTTCAATTATTTGCAATTTTATCTGGGTTTGCGATAGCCGTCAACAGTTTTGAATGTAACGTAAACATCAGCTTAATGTTTGCTTTTATTTTTGTTCACTAAACGTATAGAAATGTAGAGTGTATCTATTACACAATTATTAATGTTTGCACAGTTTATTCTTGGCCAAAGCCCTCCGTTTCTTCAATCGCGTAATTCAATTTTTCTACTAATTGGTCATAACTTTTATAAGGAGGCAAATCTAACCTGTTGAAACAAGTATGTGATCTTGGCAGCCAGGTATCCTTTCCAAATTTCTCGATACAAAATCTTTGCGGGCCATTGCTCCCTGTAACATGGCAGAATAATCCAATAAAATTCATTACATTATTTTTTTATGAAGATTATTCAATATACATTATACATTTTTAACGAAATAATATATCTTTGATTGAATTATAATCAGTTCAACATTTATGATGTAAATCAGTGACTAATGTGTTGTCATGAATTGATTATAATTTTCTTTATTATAAACAATTAAATATTAAAAAATTGTCTATTTTAAACTAAATTTCCATTAAAATTCTATTAATTATTTTGTTTATAATTTCTGAAAAACTACTTTACCCATTAATTCGGCAAATCCACCAACAGGTACGCGACAAGTACCCGTTACAAATTGTAACAGTCTGGCTCTTTTTTCGCTATCTGTTCTCGATACAAACTAAAATACAAATAGAAAATGTGCATTCAAGTGTATAATAATTTCAGATCAAGAATGTTTTCGTAAGATTAAACATATCGTAATATTAACAAACCTGCCAGAACCAAAGAATTTGTTTACTGTTACGAGTGTAGTGTCTGTAAATAGTATTGCGTTGCCAGTCCTCGACATCTATCTCCTGCATGCCACAAAGCATGAGTTCCAATTCACGTTCATCAAAATATTTGAGCCACTCGAGAGGCACGACTGAATTGAAGCCTTCCAAGAACGCTTTTGTTTGTTCCTCTATACCTCTTGTCATTCTCCATTCTGTCATTAACCTGTTGAATGTTAAGAATTACACTTTTGTTATAAACAAAGTCTTGCAGAAGTAAAAAAAAAGTTTATTTTTTTCAATAAGTTGTTTTTGTAATTGCGCAATTATCTGCAAGGAGATTGCATATACCTGATGTATTCTTCTTTATTGTCTTCGCTTACTCTAACTTTATCTCCATTTTCCTTTAACTCGTGATGTATTACCTGACCGAGAATCTCAAAATCTACACTATAATACAATTCTAGGCCACAGTCGTCAATGTTATTTTCTTTTATCCACACGAGAGATTTGTAAAACTCCGGATCAATGGATTCTATGTCCTTCATAACTAGTTTCTTGTTTAACATACGTTTATAAAATGGCATGGTAAATCCGCTGTATATAAATCTGCCATGATAAAGAGCCTGTGAAAAGAGAGAAAAAAAAACAATTTTGTGTACGTACATATAGAGAAAATCTGAAAACATTTTTTGTGGTATCTGAAAAGTAAAAAGCATACCATCGCAATAAACCTGCCGATAAATTTGAAATACTGTAAATGATCGGGATTGACATACGATGCTGGATTTATTTGCAAACTGTAATTACTTTTATTGGCATACTCGAATAGGCAGTACATGGGATTTAAAACTTCGTGGCTCAACAAGAAAAACCATTCCCTGAAAATAAATAAAATATTTTTTCTCAATTTGTGTCTATTGAAATCAAATAAAAAGAAACTAACGTTCAAAGTTTGCGCAATGTTTGTGTATCATACCTAGACACACCTCCATAGTCCAGACCTTCCTCTCCTTTAAATATTATGTATAATCGCCGTCTCAGCGCAAAGGCTTCAGCATTCATTATTTGATGGTACGAGTCTTCAAACAATGTCTGGCGACTAACGCTTATCTTAATATGATTAGGCAGTGCGTTGGTCTGACACAAGAATCGGAACTGAGACAGTTTCCATCGGAATGATCTTTCGTACGCCCTCGGAACACGATACGCACCTTTCGGACTGTATGCACAGGAGATACAGAATATATTAAAAAAATACATACATTTCTAATTGCGAATCTAAATAGAATTGTATAACGTGATAAGCAACGAACCCTTTGGGTGCACCAGGTCTTGGATCTTGAAACGTCGTCGTTCGTGTATTGTGATCCACAAAATACTCCATCCCATCTTCCGTTAATCGTATCTCCCAACCATCCGGTAACGGTCCGTCGATCGCAGATTCTTGACCCTGCGTACGAGGATCCTCCCATTGTGTAGTTCGATTCTTATGATTTACATAATATACTCTTCCTTCTGGTTGCTTCCGTCTTTCCCAACCAGCCGGTAATGGTCCCAGAGCGTCGTCATCGTCAACTACGGACGTTGACGGACCCGCGGCAGACTGACTTCCATGAACCTGCAGACACACATGATTGCACATATGATTGTGACTGATAAAATGAGTTTTTTTTTTAGATGCAATAAACTGTACTTCGTTTTCCTAAGTCAGTATAAAAGAACTTTATCAGATTTTATCTACCTGAGGATAAAGAAATCTCTGATTGCCTTGTTCGACAACATATTGTCTTTCACCTTGCCAGTGTTGCCAGTGTTGCAATCTCTCTGTATTTGGTCTTTGCCACGTCGTGCTTCTTGTATTATGATCAACGTAATAAATTCTACCGCGTGGATCGCGACGAATTTCCCATCCAGGGGGCAAAGGCTCTTGAGGTCTCTCCCAAGATGTGCTTCGAGTATTATGATCGACATAATATCTATAATGATTAAAAAAAAATTAAAAAACAATTATATTTCTAATCGTAAATTTTGAAACTGTTACACACACGTCAATATTTTTTTTTTGTTTATACCTTCTCCCATACATATCGTATCTCCTTTCCCAACCCGACGGCAATTTTTCTGAGTGATCATCGGTGGACAAAGCTGAGGAACCCGGCTGCGCAACAGATTGCCCAGCTATTGGCACGGGAACGGATTGAGCGGGCAATGAAACTACACTTTGTGGAATTCGCGGCATACCGGAACGGGATTCCGCAGCAGGCGATACATGTTCTGCGACAGGATGCGTTCGTCCCTCAGTTAACGGAATCACTGTTGACGGTTCCAGTCGAGAAACCGTAGGGTGATCATCTGTCGGGTGAACATTCGCATTTTGTTGGTTACGCGTAACTCCGCGTAAATGCGACGGATGTGGCGTGCTTATCGGTTGTTCCGCACGAGGAATTTGCAAATCCTCGTGCAAACGAATAATCATAGACTCGTATTCCGGCTCTTGTCTCGCCGCGCGGCTAGACTCATCCAAGTGTCTACCGATGGTGTTTATAGCAGATTCTTCTATTTGTCGCATCAAGCGTATGTCTTCATTCGCCATGGTTATTCGTCGTGTGTTCACGGATTGATCCGACTGTTCCGATCGTGTCGATATTTGTCCGTCGAGTGTCATTACACGGCCATCCGGAAGAGTTGCTACAACTGGCTGTTCTATTCGTAGAGCAGTGCCACCACCACGACTATTCACATGCGGCGACGCATTTGTGTCTTTTGGAGAAGCATCGGTATTATCTGTATTGGAAGGAATCGACTGGTCTTGACGGAAAATTCCACGAACATCCGCTGATATTTGCGATCCGTTTCCTGGAATCACTGAAGTAGATTGTTCTATTCGCGACGCACCACGTGAATCTGGTTTCACGATCGCAGAATGTTCCCCATTGACGTAGCTATTTCGCACGTACACTCGATTTTCTGGCGGATTTGCTGACGCCGAGGATTGATCCTTGATGGTCACTCTACCAGTAAAAGTTTGTATATCTGTGGCGTGTCGATTTCCCGGAGACACCTTAGATTTATCTGTTATTGAAATTGCATGCCCGTTCAGCAAAGTATTGCTGCTGCTGCTGCCGCTGTTGTTGTTGTTGCTGCTGTTGTTGCTGACACCCACATTGCTACTCGATGCGCCATCTGCACTTGAAGTTGTAGTGGAAATTCCAACAGTCTTTTTGCTGTTTGTTTGACCATTTCCACTGTTATAGTTTGGACTAATGTGAATATTTGTTGAACCACGACATATAGGCGTAAGATTCTCTGAATGTAATCTCATACGTGCACGAATTCCACCATTAAGAATACTCCGATTATTAATTGTATCATTATTTGTGGCACCTAAAACCATAAAAATACGAAAACATGTTTTAATAGTATTTGTTGTAAATATTTAAATATATTTTAGAATTGTTTGCACATTGCGATAAAGTTTTTCTTACCATCAGATTGTATTGAACAGGGTGGGTCTCCAACATTTGATGTTGTCTCGTTGGCGGCATCGATTTTAAGTCCATCAAATATGGTAATCAATTCGCCAACTTTACACAACTGAGAGTCATGTTTACTCTCACTCATCAAATCGAATGTCAGTTCTAAATTCTCTAATTTTCCATTATAATGTGATAAAACTTGAAACAAACTTAACCGTTTCTCTCCTATTAACGTGTCCTTGCGAAAAGTACTATGGTCAAGTATTCGAAAATGCAAGTTCGAATATGGGGTTACAAGTATGGTAAACTCTTCATTCCATCTTGGTTGATATGTAGACTTTAACACTTCTGTTTTACGTGGACTTTTATCATCAACTGAGAATTCTACATATGGATTAGGCTTTAAGAAAGTTGAACTTCTAATTCTCGCTGCTTCAACTAAAATAAATTACATGTCAATGTAAGTAAAAATATTCATGAAAGTTTCACACACGTATCATACAACTATTTACATAAAAAAAATAATCATAACAAAAATCAAGACAACTTAAAACATAATAAGAAGATAAACAACAAAGATTAAAATTGAATTACAAAAATATACTTTTTAATCTAAACACACATATTACATCATCAGAATTATTGTACATGATATTAGTTATTTGCTCTGATTATTATAAATATTATCATCTTGTTGCAATTAACTATTATCTACAAATGAATAACATATTTTGGTCAACAGATAATTGTGATAAAATTGTGACAATCTTAGATAAGAAAATATCAAACTCACATGATATGATAAACAAAAGTTTACAAGAGACAAGAGACAATACAGCAATTTGTATGAAATAATAATATCAGAACTTTCATTATAGTTTTTTTATAAAGATCATCTTTAATAAAAAAAAAAATTGCTTACTCTATATACACATCAATACACTTTAGGATTTACAAATGAATCTTATGTTAACAAAATTTCATACTTACTTGTAATACTCAGTTGATGAAACCCAGGTGACACCACTTCTTCTTTGCAATGGGACATTGTATTTTGCATTATAATTGTATTGTTATTCAAAGCAATTGTTTTGAGTGGTTCATAATTCTCTCTCATTCATTTACTTACAATAACTGCAACATGTAACAGAAAAAAAAACTAGAAATTTGTGTTACTTTAAAAACAACACAAAATCAATTATATTAAAAAACTTTTTGATATATTTTATTAAAAAAAATAAACCAAGTATCTTAATTCCCAACAAGTTCGGATGCACAACCAGGAGAGAATATATAATGTAGCGATATTTGAGAAAGTTCAGAAGTGTGAGATTTCTACTTTACTCGCATATAACGATGATTTTGCACATATATATATATATATATATACATATATATAATAATAATTATCTCGCGCTTCGTATTCTCTTTGGTTGGAAATATTCACAAGTGCGTAACGTACACGTATACGAAATATGCAAAACACACGTATACACACACAACTACGAGTGTATAATCGAGATTACCGATCTCTACTCTCAGATTTTCATTCGTTGTAGCGCTGTCATTTGATGTATCGCAAGACCGACGTGCGGACTAGACACATCCTGACGAGAGAAACAAAATAAAATTGCTGGACGCTAGTCAATACGAACCGAAATCAATATCCTCGGCGGCTCACGATATCCCTAATGACCATCTGCCGTCCATTCCTCGTTCAGTTAACGATCTTATCGCGGCCAAAATTCGTGGAAACATTCGGAATAGCGTTATCATCAAATTTCACTATCAGCGGTCACCATCTTTTCATACGTCAAACACACACAAGAACATTTCTCGTCGTGTGCCATGCGACAGCAGAGCGATCGCGGGCGGTCTTCGCAGTTAAAAATTTTCCGATAAAAGCAAGATCTCTCCGAGAAAGAACTTTTCGCGCGATGCGCCTATATATGTACACGTTTGTATTTTCCTACAATAAATCACAGCTATGCGCGGTTTCGGTTCACGCGAGAAACCGTAAATCACATTGCACGTTCGGTTTTTTCACCCGATCGGAACCACCAAACCAAACTACATTTGTATATATACATACATAATTAGTGGAACTTTCTGTGTCGGTGCCTTTGATATTGGTAGTCACCACAATGGAGCGAATGCGCATGCCACAAAATAATAAAAGTGCTGTCTTTCTTTTTTCATTCGCGATCACGTTTTCACGCCCGTCTCGACCGCGAATTCGATTGGATTGAGAATCGCGTCGACGGAGGCGGTTTGACCGATCAATCGGCGATGCGCTTCGCCCCGATTGGCCCAGTCCGACCCCACAAATCCGCGATCTAAGACGGGCTTTAACATTGAACATCTCGAGCGATGTAACCTTAACCCGGAGTTAAATGTGTTTGGTTTCTTTGGTTACGAAGCGTAACGAAACGCGGTGGAGGTTGAAATGGACTTGAGAGGAGAAGAGCGAAATTTTTTTTTTTTTTTATAACATGTTTAACACGCTCGCTAGCCAATAGATAGACTTTCTGGACGCAAACAGAGCAAAATCTCAAAGGGCTGTGGTTGTCGTACTTATGCTTAAGAAAAATCAACAAAATAACACACGTAAACAAACGCAAAAAGAATGGATCGAGCCTGAGCTAAGGGAAGTGTTTTAAAAAGTCGAAACACAAAGAAGAGTTGGAGTACAATTTCGTTCAAAAACTGGTCAAAACCTCGAAGGGTTGTGTTAAAGTGTATTTATATCTCTCGATATATAAATATATATTTAACATTACATACTCAATATAGTATATATACACAAATAAATCCGAAAACACCATGAAGGCAACACTTTGTTTACTTCTTATTGTAATTTACGGTAAGTTTCTTAATTAATCTCTTAGCTGAGAAATAGTTTTATTTCTTGTCTCTGTGTTTCTGTCACGTTTAAATCACTTGTAATCATTAGGTTTCGTGAAATACATACGTAGAAAAAAGTTTATAATTGTGCGATAAAAATATTGTCTAACGTCTGTCAATAAATTACAGCAACCTTCTCCGCAGTTGAAAGTAGAGTTTATTCATCCTCGAAACAGAAGTATCAAACGGAGAATCAGAAAGAATATGACAATAATAATGTAGCGGCCAGATATTCTAAAAAGAATAAGAAATCGGTAGAGACGGGAACATCGGGTTCTCCACAAAAACGAATCGTATCGGCGTGGGGAATAATTGCAATAATTTTAGGTATAATTATACTCAGTACAATTACGTACTACGTGTTCATACTGTATCCGTACATATGTTACAAGGATCAGGCTTATGACACCATAGAGTTGACCGAAGTTAACTCTGTCAGTACTGTCAGTGACAATATTAACAACATGCTGCCATATCGCAACTCAAATGACACATCGTGAAATCGATAAGAAAATAAGAAAAGTAATATTTTTCACGTTACTTAGATAAGAGATAATAATAACTTATATAAGAGACAATTACAATATATTTATATTATCAATTTTTAACAGCAAGTTTTATATCGGTTTTTAAGTAGTTTTGAGGTTTCTCTTTTGGAAACTTCTATATATAGACATCGATATATTACCACTTTTTATATCAAGTTTTACATACGCAACACTACATATTACAGCAATCAGTAACTTCAGTGTTTAACAGAGTGATTAGTATACATGGAAATAAATTTCTTATGACATTTTTTGTACGGAGAGTTGTGCTTCTTTGCAAGAGGAAATTTTTAATCGTACGAATGAAAATTTGTTGAACACATATATACACGTTTTTGTTAAAAATACTATTTTCTTTTTAAAACGCGCGTAAATGTTAAATTTTTTTACAAATAGTGTACGACGCATGTCAGTTCTGCTTGCGCAATGGAAGATCCGACAGAATACACATTTTAATTAGCGAGTGTAATATGCGTCACACACACACATGTTCAGAGACAGACAGTTTGTCGATACGCGATTACAATTAAGACTGATTTTTTTTTTTTATATCGTCGAATTTGGTCCCATTACAGGGATAACTACTTAATTACTAATCTAACTAGTTTTGTGAAGAAACGATCTGTTCTTAAACTACTAGCGTAGCAATGCAACACGTTTTTATTACTAGCACATACGCGTGAGATTAGCGATACCTGTGAAATCTACGTTGTAAAAATGGACATAAATGCATCTTATTACCACCGTACATATGAGTTCTAAGAGAAAACACGTTTTGACTACCTTATATAAAGATTGCAATTTAATTATTACATTTTTGCTTCTCGCGTGGATACTATGCGAGGGGGGATATATGTATACACAAGATTTTATATATAACTGTACAATATACTTAATATACTATGTAAATCGACAATAATTTCGACGATCCAAGATCTGGTTTAGACCGGCGCAATAGTAGCTGGCAACGTAAACTGGAACGATTCGTGTGTTATTATTGCTGCATCAAAAGAGGTGAGATAACACGCGTTGTCAACAAACACGTGTTATCAATAATGTTGCGTCCTGTCTGTAAACACAGCTTATAAACTTATAGAGCGGTAGCGAACACGTTGAAGTTTATAATACTCATAAGAAAAGACTTACATATAACATAGAAACAATTATATATTTGTAAAATGTTATAAACTATATTTAGTACAAATAGGAAACTATACAATTTCAAGTACTTTTATATATTTTTTACTTATATAAGATAAGCAAAAATAATAATAAATGCATTGTCATAGTACACGGAGTTTACGTGTTTCGAAACCTATCGTTTCCTATCTAAACACACACACATGATGGAAAAATAACGATGAAAATTCACACTCTTATAACCATTCCGTCCGTTTGTAGAACAACGAAAAATCTACAAAATTGGCTCTTTAATGGAAGAAGTTTTTTTCTTTTTTATAAAAATGAAAAACCGCACCTGAGAATCGGCACCTTAAGACGTAGAGCGAAACTACTGTATATTTTGTGTGTATGTATTGTCGAGAGGAGAAAAATGTCGGTTATTTCAAAATAGTATCAAAATAATCACATAAGAGAAAATTGCTCTTCATGTAAAAACGCACCACCTGAAGTCATTGAGAATCGACGTAGATATGATAAATATACATACACTTTGTAAAGTTTTGTGTGTGTAATATGATGTACAAAATAAGCTTTCGGACGACTAAACTTCTAACCTACCCGTAGTTGACACCTTTAATAGTAGTTCTATTGGAAATGATGTATTTCGTGTGTGTAGCAAATTCTAAGAAAATTAGCTCTCAATTTTCGGTAAAAATTTACAGCTCGTCTTTCTCATCCAAATCAACGTCGCTGAGATCGATATCCTCCTCTTGTGGAGGTTCGGCGTCCTTGCCGTCCCAAGGTGTCGTTTCGAATATAACAGGCAATTGAGCGCCCTTCAAAGGTGCAGTGCCACCTCTGCCGTAACTCAAATCGCGCAAGAATTCGTTTATTCCGTCATACGAGAAACTACCTTTCAGCAAGGAGTACTTCATTTTCTTAATGTTGACAGCCGCTAATGCGGGATAACCGAAACCTCCGATTTCCAAAGCCTCTTCAACGTTCGGTTGAACACCAGCCTCAGCCCAAACCCATCTGTGAAAAGAAAAACGCGTAGCGTATTTTAGGAATAGTTTAATACATAAAAAAAATTTATGATAACATTGTTCGGTCACGTAAAGTTTAAAAAAAAATTTAAACTTCAACTGCGTATTACACTTCCAAAGCAATAAATGTAACGTGTTTAATGTGTTTTAATGCATACCCCCACATCTTCTTCTTGTACTTCTCGCCGAGACTGCGCAAAGTTTTCAAGTATCCATTTCTACAGTCGGATTGACAGTCTAGGATGTGCGGTAAGACGGATACTACGCAAATTGGTTTGTCTTCGCAAGCAGCTCTTAGACTCTTTTCGGAAGTAATTTGCACTACTTCTGGTGCCGGAATGTTCTCGGCCAATTTTTCCAGAGCCCAATTGACGATATCGCTGCTTGTGCGACCACCATCGTAATCCTGAACTGAGTCAGCATCTTTCTTGCCAGGTGCGAAGAATTTAATGGTGGGATAGCCTTTGATCTCGTATTTACTGGCCTACAACATTAATATTTCAGAATAAGCTACAATTCGATATTTCCGATCTTTCAGACCAAATTTTTATGTAAAAAAAATATATATATATATGTTGAACTTACTTTTATTGTGTTCACAGTGGCATCCAAAGCTCCCAATTTCACTTTGCCTTTCAATTCTGTGGCTGCTGCCGCCCATTCAGGTGCTAAGTTTTTACAGTGACCACACCACGGAGCATAAAACTCAACTAACCACATATCCTCGGAATTTAAGACGGTCTTATCGAAGTTTTCATCTGTCAATTCTATTACATCCTTGGAATCTTTACTCTGCAAATAAACAAATATATTAAAATAATCGCGTAATTGAATTTACTTTTTAATTTTTATTTATACTGCTTACCTTAGAGTCACCTCCTCCTGTCTTCTTGCCACCTAAAGCCTTTCGTACTTTCTGACTGGCAGCATTTAATGCAGCATCGACAATACCGGCTGCAGTTCTTGGGCCATTGTATTCTTCCGGTTTGCTGTCAAGTCCGAAAATCTTAATTGTTGGAAATCCACGAATGCCATATTTTTGGCCAATAGATTTGTGCTCGTCAACATTAATTGCACCAACTTTTACAACACCCTGTAAGAGAGAGTAAACAAACATATAAATAAATCTTGAAATTCTGCATGACACATCAACAAACACATATAGCTTCTGATTTACATTATTTATAATTTCTTGATAATTGCATAATTTGAATTTATTTTTTGTATTTATAACTTATTTTAAGTTTTAACTCCAGCTGATAATTTCAGCTGGAAATATCTGTGTGTGTTCTGATTAATATATAGAAAAAGTTAAAAATAAACAAACTTATACTCGCACAGGTTGTTATCAAATACACAAGGTAACATTTACTGATTATATAGCACTAAAAAGATGTAGTTACCTTTAATGCCGTAGCTGCTTTGTCATACTCGGGTATCAATTGTTGACAGTGTCCACACCATGGCGCATAGAACTCAACTATCCAAATATGATCGCTGTTTAACACTAGATTATCAAAATTATTTGGTCTAAGATCAACGACAGCCGAATTGGATGCATACATGCAATTTGCTCCGGCAACTAGCAGGAAAAAGCCTGAAAAAGAGAAAAAGATATGCACAACAAGATTTAACGAGTATGTCAGAATTTACATTTGCATTTTGTGTGTGTGTACTTTGAAGTACGTGTAAACGCCGCAAAAATGACAACGTATTGACATCATAGAAATTTAACGAGAGAGGGGACACTTGTTGCAATATCACTCATGTAGAATCTCGATAACAAGATCGAAAACATCTTTCATCTTGATTGCAATGTCAGTTGTTGACAAGCAACCGGCAGCGAACCGGCGAAATTTGCAAAACGCACGAATTCACGACTTACCTATTAGCGCTAACATTTTCTCGTAAATTTCACAGACAATTTTTCAACCAGTCATTCACCTCTGCCGTTAAAGTGAATACGAATCATACAAATGCGCTTATATAGCTCAAAGTTACAATCTTTTGGTAATGCGTTGGCGGCATCCCAGCCGCTACATAGCTTTTCGTGGACCGTTCTGATTGGTCGCAATTATGGGAGAAATGGAAAAGCTTCTTCACCAATGAAATCGTCGCGCTATACGAGACAATCTGAAGGCACTGAACTATAATATGGAACGCGCCTTGCCATTGTGCGAGCCACTGTCCGCGATAGAGAGCATCACAACTAGGATCTCTGTCTTTGTCTCGTCGTCGCTGATTGGTTGAAATTTATACGAGTACAGTCCAAGACAAAAGAACAACGAAAAGTAAAGAATGACTGCGTTCAGCAGAAATCAGCGTTCAGCAATTGCTAATACGCGGTCATTCTTTACTTTTCAAAAAAAATCCGGGTCGTCTCCGTTTGTAAAAAAAAAAAACTATTATTGCAACTACACGTGATATGAAAATATTTATTATTTCTCTATTCCACGAACATACATAAAAAAATGAATAGAAGTATTCTGTCACACACATTATTCTCCACCTTGTAATTCACACAAGATGTAGAAAAACAGATATAAAACAAATGATCAGATTATATACAGTCAATGTGACTTAGTTAATAAATGTAATTATCACATCTTGTATGTACAATTAGTATAAAATTAATGGTGAATTAGTAGTAAAAAGTAAAATTAATAGTTAAAAAAGTATTGTCAGACAGAATGTCGCTTTTTATTAAAACAATCAGAACAATGATAATATTCAACTATTACACAATCGCGTGTTTGGTCCCTCTTAACTTCAACAACGTAATTTTCAAAATATTTCGATAAAAACTCTTTAATAAAAACTCGTAGATATGAATCAGGAAAACAACACTTGCGGCACATAAAGCAACAATGTCTGTTATCCAAATGTGTAACTAATCTATATGGTATTACACTTGCATCATACGGTATCCTGTGGAAAAAAAATAAGTTATTAAATTTTGACTCATGTAGTTTCTGTGTAAATAATTAAATATACACACGTACACACAGGTGTCACTCACAACTATCTTAAAAAACTTGTACTAATATTCTCTGATTGATATTAAATTTTTTTTAAATCCAAAAAATTTGTCATTGAAATATTTTCTGATAGCTTAGAGATATAGTCGGTGTATGTACAGACATATGCATTTACAAATCAGAAAATTAACTAAAGCAAACGTAACAAACCTATGTTCTATAACTGCTTTGGCCGCTAAGTTAACCAGATTTAATATCTTAAGCTTCCACCAAATCTCATTTTTAGGTACTGAGTTATAGTCCTGGTTAAAAGGATTTGATGAAATATCTAACCGATTTAGTCTCATCGTTCTTAGAATTCCTGGTAAATATAACAGATGATTTTTCGACAAATTCAAAGTTCTCAAATTATTTAAAATTCCAATTACTTGCGACACTATTTGCAGCAAATTTTGGGAAATGTTCAAATGTATTAAAGCACTCAGCTTTGCAATTTGTAGTGGTAATGTGACAATCTATAAATAACAAGAAATAAATTAATAATAAACTGTTAAAAAACTACAATAGAGTTCCATTTAAATAATAATAGATGTATCTCAGGTAATATAATTTACAGTTATACTTTAATTACAGTTATATAATATAGAATTAGAATTATAATAATATTAATTTAATACGTAGTAACTTACTTTATTGTTACTCATGTCTAATTCCTTCAGACTCTTTGATATAGCAACTTGTTCCATCCATGCCCACTTATTAGCAAGTGATGTGGAGTTTCCCAGACAATTTCCTGATAAAAGAAGCTGTTCAAGATGAGGCAAACTACCTAATTCTTTTGGCAAGTAGGAGATCTCATTGTTTTCCAAGTTTAAAATTCTCAAACTTTGTAACCTAAGAATCTGTCTATCAAAAGATCTTCTGCCTAATCCACTTAAATAAAGTCTTTCTGTTGTTTTTGGAAAACCTTGCAAGGTCGGATAGTCAGATTTTTTCTTTACTACAACCTCTTTGGTTTCTACCGTAAAAGAAGAAGGTACTCTGAGCCACTCTTCAGGGAGATGATTTCCTTTAGATACATGATCTATGAAGCGAACAAATTTCTTCAAAAGAATACGATCACCCTGAATCAGTAAATCATGAGGTGGTTCAGCAAAGCTTATTGTACTCTTGCCTTGATCTATATGTGCTAAGTACAGTTTGTTTACGTTCTTGATAATCTGAAATAATTGTAACAAGATGTGTAACACAATAACACTACTAAACTTTGTTTCAGAATTTAAAAACAATTGACAGATAATGAATTGTATAAATTGTATAAACGAAAAGAAGAACTTGTTTCACATACTCGATATCTTGTGCCTCGTTTTTGTTGCCGTGTCTGCCAAAGTAACTCTACTTCTTTTTTTTCTCCTGTTTGGTGTTTCACAAAAGACAATATAGACAATTGCGGTTTTCTTTTACACAAAAAAACTCTATCATACATCTCTACGTAACAATTTAATTTCATTTTGTCGTTTAATCCGCAGTAGAGATGTTTTTCGACAGTACTCGTGACCCTCGTGTCTAGGCTTGTGTTTGAATCAGCTGTCACAGCTGTTGCTTGATGCGTCGCTAACGTTTTTCAAGATGGCAATTTTACAAATTATGGCACCAGAGAAAGTTACTAGAATTCGAATCAATCGTCTTGGTTCATCGGTAGAAATGGGTATTCCGATTGGTCAATTTTGCGAGAACTAAATTCTGTTCTGTTTAAAGTTTGTTTAGTTCGTCAAGTTGCCAACTTTGAGCTATGATTTTACAAATTAACCAATCAGAATAAAGCGCAGTCAAGTCATTCGCTCTCGATTAATCAATCTGCGATTATCGATTGATCAATCTGCGATTATCGATTGACGACCAATCAACTGTCAGTTCGTTTGTCTTTCATACGGGCTTAAGGAAAGTTCGATCGAGAGAGGAAAGAATATCGATCTGCGATATTGAAATTCTCGAGATCGAATACAGTAGATAAAATCGCACCATGAAGAAAAATAACGCCGCGCGCGCGCGCGCGCGTATGTACAATTCATATATATATATATATCTATATTTATTTGTCGAATTTTTTAAAAAACAATTAGCAAAGAGGTTTTTAATACGCAATTTTATAGTGTTAAAAAATATTATTATGAACTATTATTCCCAGGATAAAAAATAACGACTTCACAAATAGACAGCAATATTTATTGGCAACATGTCTACTTAAATTTTCAAACATTAAAAAATTATTATTTTATTATTATTATTAATAAATTCGATAATCTCGAATTTTACAAAGTAAGTATTCATTAACGTACATGATGATTTTTTTATTATCTTGCGATTTTCGCACGTTTTTGTCGCAAGATTTATAGCTTATAAAATTCATATAAATTGTTATATAACAGTGCAAAATTATGTATAATATAAAAACTGAAAAATTTATTTCTCGTCACACATACAAATTATTTTATAATAAATTAAGAAAACTATAGGCCATGTAAAATATTAAAAAAAAGAACTATATAGTAGGTCTCTCAATATATATAAAAAAAATATCATTTATATAATCTCTCTGTAATGTTTACATACGTAAAATTTAAATTTAAAAAAGTCGGAAATAAATTCTTCAATTCTATAACTCACGAACATTTAACTTCTACGAATCGCGTAAAGTTTGACAACACAAAGAGGAATATTAATTGTAATTTGCAGAATTCCGGGGAGAAAAGAGAATATGATCCCACGTTAATTTATATTAGAGAAATGCAAAAAAATGGACTCGCGGAAAGAAAGTATATGTCGATATCGATGCGCTTTCTCTAGCGCCTCGTTCTCAACGATCGGGGTTTATTGTGCTGCATATCCTTGCACTTGGGAATGTGCCGTTCCGCGGCGGCCTGATTGAACTTTCTGTTGCAATGCGGGCACTGAATGTAATCGCTGGTGTCGCTGGGCGGCGGTGGTGGCAGGTCGCGCAAATCTTTACCTGCCGCCTGATACGCCTGCGCCTGCTTGGCATAACGGATCGCGCTGATGAATTCCTCGTGTTTGCGCCGCCAATCCGGTTTAGTTGGCGACTGCTTTTTTGACTGAAAATAAAACTGTGATTATTCTTGTCTTTTTTGAAAAGAAAAGAAACAAACTTAGCACTTGCAGTGCTAAAAATAAATTTGACGGGCGATTTGCCTGTGATATTTATTTTCAAAAAAACCCAACACACTCAGCAGTTTAATCGAATACCTTGGCTTCTTGCTTCTTGACAAAGCCTTTCTTCACAAAAGGTTCGAGATCGGTTCCTCTGGTTCGAAACAGTACCGTGTCAAATTTCTTCCTTTCTTTTTTCAACGTTTTCTCACAAATTTGCTGGTGCAGGCTGACGCGATCCTGCGCAAAGTGACGTCCGCATGTTTTACATGCTACCAAGTCACCTCTGTAATCAATTATATCTAATGACGCAAATGTTTTTTTTGCCACACTTCTGTTATTAAAATTTTTCTAACAAAACCGCAACTTAGGAAACTCACGCAGAAGTTCTAGCTCTTGATATCATTTTATCTTTTGCACTGGAAACTTGAGATAAACTAACACTGGAATTTGACGACGAACTTGATCGACCTGTATTCGGAGTTATTTGTTGTTTCTGTAAGCAAATTCAAACATATTACTCACATTATCTCTTAATATTTGTGAACAATTTCTAATCCGTATATATTTTTATCCGCTTTTATAATATGTAAGAAATAAATTGCTGTTAATGACGCGAAAAGAGTTTAGGTTATCAAATATAATTGCCACTTCGTATAACGTTAATTTGAGTTTATTATTAAGCCACTTTTTTTAACAATTCCACACGCGGGGAACTTTCATTACAATGAACATTTGAATTTTTTCTCCGTTTCAAACACAAACTCTAACTGCAATTATTCATAAAAATAAATTATACGGTTGTAAAAACTGTAGCAATATGATTTGGTTTCGCGTCAAATAGCTCGTGTTCACTGCTGATTGATTTTTTTTTTTTTTTTGTGCATGCACAATACGAATTTCAATTTGGGAATTGGGCGGAAAATCCATGCGCGATTAACTGGCCGGATTTACGTCAGAGAGACGACATTTTATTTTGACGCCGTGTTTCAGAGGCATTACTCTTGCGCTGTCTTTTTTCATTTGCCGACCCGTTATGATTTGATCGAATAAATACGAATTTATTTCGATTTCACAAAACGATACAATAATGTCAAGCGGATAAAAAACCGTCACACGTCAGTAATAAAAACAAAAAATAAAAATAAAAATATGTGGCACCGAACGTTCTAATTCTCTCTCTTCAAGAAAGTTTCAACAAATTAACTAATTTGTGTGACCTTTTGCATTAAAAATTTTTTTTTACAATTAAAAGGTAATTCAAAAAGAATCAATTAGAAAAAGTCTCAATTAAATTAGTCGATTATATATTTCCACCGATCTGTTAAGATAAAAAACAAAAAAAAAAAACGGTCTTACATCGCTAAAGGTCTTCCTCATTGGCGGTTTTCTCGACGGCATTGTGTCGTCTTCCTTCGACGAGCCGTTGAAGTCGATCACAAAGGCGCTGGATTTCTTTGTCGCGGATTCGTGCGGCGAATCGTTCGCGACTCCATCAGCTGCGTCGAATGTTCCGGCCCCCTTACCTCCCGTAAGATCCGCTCCTTTCGCGGTAACTGACTTTCTCGAAGGCTTCGCGTCTTGATTCTTCAATTCTGTGGACGCGCGCTGACGCGTACGTAATAAAATAAACAAATTATTTATTTATTTATTTATTTACAGAAAGAATCCCATGAAAAAGAATGAGAAAAAGATGACAGATCAAATTTATTATCCGATAAAAGAAAATCCCTCTAAATAAATAAATGGAAGGAAAAAGCACATCGCGAATAAATCCATTTTTCGATAGCTGAAAGGTTTATGATACACGTGACGATTTCGATTTGATACTTACCCGGGACGGGATATCAGGACTTTTCGAGAGAGACGAAGAAGCACTTCCTCTTATTGCTCGCGTGTTCGTCTCGTGCTTCCTCGCGGCCGGATCGGGACTCGGGCTCTTCGTAATCCTGGATATGCAGGACTTAGCTTTAATGGACCTCGCGCGATCACCCACGAGAAATGCATTTTGTGCCGCGCGAATCGATCTTTCCGCGTCGCCATCCCGCCAGACCGAACACCGGTTTGCAATTGCCGACCTCGACTCTTTCGTAACAGTGATAGTCGTTCGTTCACTTAGTTCGTTATTATCGATCGACTTTCGAATATCCTCGATTGATCGCAGCGGTCTCACGGAAACAGTTGACGTTTCTTCTTCCGATTCTCTCGTCGCGATCTCGCGAGACACGAAACCCGCATCGTCTTTGCGCGATTTACGATTTACGGATATGTAATTTGCTTTTTTGCGCGTTTTCGCGTTACTCGATTCTTTTCGAGTTTCCTTCTTCAAATCGGATGCGAATAGTTGCCGTTTGCATGTAGATCGAGTTTGCGTCCGCGCCCGCTTGTTCTCGATCGAATTTCCGAGTTTCGCCAGTTTCTTAGACGACGTTGATATTTGCTTTCCCAAAATCTTCAGATCTCTCTCACGCTGCGCCGCGGTCTTCATTTCGCGATCTTGGACGGATTCCGAAGATCTCGCGGTCGAGTTTGAAATCTTATTACTCGTCATCTCGCGACGCAAGATTATCGTTGATGCGCTCGATTCCCCGACGAGGCGAGGTTTCGCATCCATCATTCGCAGGGAAATCGCCGACGACGTTCGGTCGCTCGGAAATTCAGATTCCGCGCCTATGGAGTCGAATCGTCTCAATGCCGACTCCACGGAGTCCATTCTCCTCAAATCGTGTTCACATTTGTCTTCTCGTCGCGTTAGCGCTTTCCGCTCAGCGTCTGTCGATTTTTCGATCGCGCGACCCGTTCCTTCATCGAACGATCTCGTTGTCGATTTTCTCGCGATCGGCGACAAACATTTTGAATATCGATCCCATTTCGGTGTAATTTTACGAGACGAGCTTCTCGGGACGTTAACGCCGCGAGAAATTTCCGTTTTTTTCGAGACCCGCAACGAGACTCGAGGTTTTGCATCGTGTTGCTCGCCGCATCCTCTTTTCAGGGAAATCGTATCCCTCGTCGAGGTGCTCGATTTCATCGGCGTCCGGATCGGTTTTCGAGAGGAGCCACCTCTATCTGCGATCCGACCGAGAGAACGAATATCCTTACCGCCTTTGATCTTTCCACCTAAAGCGCTTTCGACTATCGTTTGATACTTAACATTGATCTTATCGTTAACCTCATTTGACGTTACAATTTTATTAACGTCTTCTCCTCGAGCGTGTTCGTTCTTCGTCAACGAGGTTTTGTCTTTTGGGGTGTATCGCGTCAATTGCGCGGACCGCAAGCTCCGCGGTCGATCGAATCGCATTTCCTCACGACGATTCGCACGCCGAGAACTTCCGGTCGAGAAACCAACGGCATTGTCTTCATCATCTCTTCGGTGACCTTTCCCGGAGAAATCTCTCCTCGACTTGAAGACGTCCGAATCCAGGATGGACGTTCTCTGTTTGTGCGTTTTGCGCACAATCGGATACGTGATCCAAGATTTCGATTTCGTTCTGTCGCCGACGATCGGCTTCGTGTACGTTCCGTTATTCTGCCGTTTCGGAGTTGTCGCTCCTCGAAATCTGTCGCTCTCGATACGATGGTCGGTCATGGTGATCTCCTGAATCTCCATGTCAACTTCGATCGGAGTGACACTCTTGCGAGGCGATTCCGGCGTGAATCTCGTCTTACTTTCGGCGAGAATCGGCGATCTCGCTTTTCGAGAAAGCGACCAAGTATCAAATCCGATCTTCGATTTATTATTTCTCGAGGCGTTTACATTTTTGATATCGCGTTTCGTAGGCGATCGACGAGCGTCGCGCCGTTCCGCGTCGCGCTGAGATCTTATAAATTTCCGAACGAGACCCGCCGATTGCAAAATGTTATCGAATTCCAGACCGTACTTCAGGCTCGCGATCGAACTGGTCGACGCGGAAGTTTCCGAAATCTTGGACGATCTGCGCGTCTGTGTAACAGCGTCGGGAATTTCGTTTCCCTTCGCGATAGTTTTTACCTCGTGCCTCGAACGATGATCAGAACTCGCTTTCTTGTTACTTGATAGAGATTGCTCGTAAAAGAAATGCGGAGAGGCGTAGTTGCGTTGTTTTAATATGCTCCTCGTTGGACTCGATCGTCTCCTCGGCTCGATCAGCATTGTTGTAGCAGATTTTTCGGATTCCTTGCAAAAGAACTGCGGACTCGTACCGCGCGCGATTCCGGACGATTCGTCGTATTCTCGACGAGCGACGTTTTTCGGCAATTTTGCCGATCGTCGCTCGTTGAAAATCTCGCCCGGACTTGTACCTTCTCGCTTTGGTGCTCGGTCGTGCGATTTGGATTCGCTAACTTTGCGATCGATGCTCATAGTCGTCGCGGATCGTTCGGATTCTTTGCAATAAAATTGCGGAGCGGTGTTTCGTCTCTCCACCGATTTCGGTCCGGTCGCTTCTCGAGCCGCATTGAGAGTCGTCTCGTATCGTTTGGATTCTCGAAAAGGATAGAGAGGACTCGAGCTGCTTTGCCTCGACGAGATTCTGTTCGGTGAGTAGGACTCGCCGAGAATCGTTCCAGATCGTCGCCGCTCGGATTCGTGAAGAAAAAACGACGGTCGTTCTGTTGTTTGTCGATAAAATAACGGCGAATCGGATCTCGGCTCGATGCTCATAGTTGTAGCGGACTTTTCGGATTCTTTGCAAAAGAATCGCGGACTCGCGTCGGGCTTCGCAAATATTTTTCCATCTCCCGGTGATTTGAAATCATTACTTCCGGGATGATAAGTCCACGAAGTGGATTCCGGTTTTGCGAAGCTTCTCCAGCCTCCCGAGAAACTTCGCGGACTATCCCCCCGTCGGTCGAGTATCTCAACATCCGGGTTATTCTCCATTCTTTTCTTATATATATCGTCGGCTACGCGGGATTTGACAGACTTGAGTGGGAGAGGAGTTTTTCTATTCCCAAGAGTTCTCTGATTGAGCTCTGTAAACCGAGCACTTCCTGCGCCGCCGCTCGTGAAAATTCCGGCGATCCTTCTGCGAGAACGCACACACACACAGTCGAGAAAAAATGTAGACATACAGGGATTTTCCATTAAAAAAAAAAAAAAAAAAAAAAATTGCGCGCTTTTTCTCACAGCGATCGATCTTACTTCGGAGCTGTCACTGCCCAAAAGCTGATTAGCGAATCGACGTTGCGCTTTAGTTACTTATTTCGTTTTTTTTTTTTTTCTGATTCTCGCAACCCCCGGTGTTAAATCTGCCTCGCGTAAATTGCGGTTAAATGGAGGCACGTAGACAATTAAGCTTTGCGCGTCCTCGGATCCTGGAGCGAATGAAATTCTCGGCTCGTTTGCGAATTGCATTAATCGAATTAATTATTATGCTCTTTTTTTTTTGTTTTTAATGCTCGTTTTTACCACCAATGATTCTGCACGTGAGCGTTACTCACCTTTGAGCGTGTTCGTTTTAATATTCGCTCTTTAGCTTACGGCGAGATGAGGCGAGAGGGGTTAGACAAACATGTATTAGAACGGAGACACACACATAATCGCAGGGGGATAATTATTCTCCCTCTTTCTTTTTCCCGATTTATTCCTGAGCGCGTTATTGTTATAGCGGAGTATATTTGTAACAGTCGAGGGGATAGCAATTGCAACCATGTGGCGTGTGGAATTAATTAAGTCTGGCAAGCGGCGAATTGTTAGCGATATATATATACGTCGAAATGTAATCGAGATATTTGCAATTATTTACAATACTACACGAACAATATAAAAGGTACTGGCTGTATAATATTGTATAATATTAACATGTTCTGTAAAATTTAAAGGATGCTTGTTAAAAAAAATATCTAAAAATCGTGAAGAACACGTGTGTTTGATTAAAAAAATTGAAATTAATCTGCAAAACAAAGACTCACCCAGAATTCGATCTTGCCGGGACTATTTGCTCCGATCGCTTCTTTATCACAGTGCTCGTTGGGTTCGATTGTTTCGTCATGTTGCTCCTCTTCGCGTTCGCGTTTTTGAATCGTTCGAGTCGCGCCTCCGCCTGGGACAACTTCTTCGTGACGTTTCTCTTCGGCAACTTCTCGGGCACGTCCACCATTAGGTAATCCGGGAATTCCTCGCTCTCCAAATCGTTTCTCACGCGATTCTTCAGAGTCTCGTCGAATCCCATCAGATGGATCTTGGCCATCATGCGGTTTCTATCTATCGTGTCGTGATCCAACACGTCCTCGTGCTAATCGATTATCAATATAATCAATGCAGAGAGAGGAGAAAATCACAAAGGTATATTTTTATCACACACGTTCGAACACAGTAATCAAATTTTTTACTTCAAAGAAATGTTCGGTCTTAGATGTTTTTTCATATCAGTTTTACAATTAAAACAATATTTTCCAAGTCAAAAGATAAAATACCAACCTCGTTGTCATCGTGACGATAGTGTCCGTTCGCGAACGTGGAGACGCGATTCTCGACGTCGAATTCGTCCACGTCATCGTGACGACGTGCGGACGGGCCGAATGACTCGCGAGCGATTTCTTCGTGATACGTAACGACGGGTTTACCACCGTTGACGTTACTGTTGACGTCCGCGCGCGCCACGCGTCTCACGCTGACGGATTGTCGATTCACCGTTGTCGAATTACCGTTTCTCTGCGTTGTCACGTTGCCGTTCGCTTGCCTTCGCAGTCTGTTCTCGAGCGGTTCGAGCGGGTAACTTCTGTCGATCCCTTTCACGGTGGTTTGCCGTCTCTCGTCGAACATTTGCCTCACCTTGCAAATAATTAATCGACACATCGTCGCAAAATTGAAACGGAAAACCAGGACGGACATTGAAAGAAACTCGAGACTTATCTCTCAAGTAAATTTCAGAGGCAAAATTACGGAATTACGTTAAAAAAATTCTCAACATAACAGATAATTCTCTGGATCGCTGTGGCAAATGTTTTTCTGTCTCTAGAGAGAGAGAGAGAAAAAGAAAATGGCAACAAAATACGATGCGCCGCGCCGGTTTAATTAACGGCGCGTCGTATAGCGGCAATAAATCGCGATCTCGGTCAGACTGTACATACATACGTAAATAAGACAGTACAAAGTCACCGGCATTAGTTTCCGTTTATATGAAAACCACTCACCTTGCCGCCTTGCGAGGTCGAGGTCGTGTGGGTGGTCGTTGTGGTTCTAACTGTGGAACCGTGATTAGACCCGTTGGAACCCGCGCTACCCTTTTGCACCACCTGGTAGGCTCTCTGCTGCTGTTGGTCGTACAGCTGCAGCAGTTTCTGCTCCTTCTCCTGCAGCTGCTTCTGCTGGAAGCGGGCCTGTGTCGCCGGATAATTCGCTTTGAGTTTCAGCATGTTGTGCCGCGCGGAAATGCGGGCCGACGTCGCGCGGTTAGAACGTCGGCTCGCATGCGAGTTGTTGCACGGCGTTGTATCGCGCGCGCGAGTCTCTACTCTCCCGCGCGGAGAGGGTTATAAGCAACGACGATGCATATATACCACCACACACGGAGGCACGCCGCCTGATCGATTCTCTTCTAACCTACATGCGAAGGGGTTAGTAAACTCGTTATTATGCTAAAGCGGGATCGCTCGTCTCTCAGCTAACGTCTCCCCAGCGCGAAGGTTTGCAGCGGTCTTACGCGTCCCGCCTCGCGACGGTACCTTTAATTAGGGTTCGACTGACGACGATTATTGGTCTCGCGTGCGTAAACAAAAGAACAAAAAAACAAAAATGCGAAATTTCAATTAGTTAATTTAATTTCGCGCATCTCTTCGGAAGTTCGGAAACTCATCTGTTTGATGGTTTCGTTTCAATAACGATAATTTACACAAAGATCGATTAGCTTCCTAATTGCATATCCCTTCGATGATTGCATCGCCAATCAAGTACGCCGCTAATTGATCTATTCCTAATGGACCCGCCATATTGGACACACACTTCCTCCGTGCGGCGCAACGATTATATACGAGGGCGAACTCGTGATTTCAGATCCGGAAAAGTAATCGGCAATTTCAACCCTTCATCAGTTATGTTAATGATCGTAAGTGGTTTAGTCGTGAAATAAATTTCAAAAAAAAAAAAAAAAGAACCAAGAATTACACGATTAGAAGATTAGATAAGTATCGCACGTTCGAATCGCACGTAGACACGTACGTACAAACTTCTCGAGATTCGAAAAGCTGACGAGACTCTGACACACATGACCGTATATAGAGAAAGCAACATTCCCGTTTCTCTCCCGCGTCGCCGTCATCGTCGTTTCGCGGTTTCTCCTTTTTCGTTTCGAGATATTGAGGTGTATAAGTCGATACCGCGCAACGTGTGCCTTGCGAAACGCTGACCCGCTTTGACGATACAATTACCTACTCTTGCGCTCCGTTATCCTCGCCATGATTCAACGAAACCGATGTAACTCGAAACATACATTATTATTATTATTAACGAGAATTTCACGCGCTTTTTTCTTTCTTTTCAAAAATTAATACCATGTTTTCCAAATTAACGTAGTCGCCTTCCTGCGTCGATGTCTTCATAGACTTTCCTCGAAGACCCAGCTGCTGAGACCGGATGCGCATCTCCTATTGCGAGTTTCTCAATCACTTTCCTGTTTGAACTACGTCGATTCTGCGTTCGCCCTCGGGACAGAAATTCTCTCGCAAATCCTCTCGCTTCGGATATGTCGGGACGCGCATTCGAGGCGGTTACACAGCACTGACATGTTTAGTCTTGTTAGGAAGGATCGCGAGGATTCTTGCAATTTTTTAGATTCACAATGTTTTTTTTTTTTTTTTAGATTCACACGTTTAACGTGACTTTATTATTTATCGCACGAACGTGTATCTTGTTGAAAAAACGTGAGAAAGAATGTCTTTGAAAACCTGAACACCGGAGAGTGTGTGTGTTGTCGAGTTTCTTAAAAAGAAAGAGCGTGTGAAGGAACTTCGTTAAAAGCGGTAGTTACACGAACTTGCGCGACGACAGAAGGTAAAGGTCGTGACGCAATATGTCAAGTTCAGTCTTTTCTCTCTCCTCGAACTTTTGCGAAAACACTCCGCGTTCAACAGGCAAGTTTAACTGTTTTTCTTTTTTGTTCACAAGAATCGGATCGTATCAAGTTTTCTCATCACGGTTTTTTTCGTTAAAATCGCCGAGTACACACGTGTCCGGGTGTACACGTACACCAAACATCCTGTCGATATCATCTTCGAGTTCGTTCCCTTAAATAACTTTTCTCTTACTTCTGTATTATCATGCTCTTCATTTAATAAACGTTCGTTTCATTATTTTTGCAAATATAACGCGCGGCGAATGCACCTGCGTCACAGACACAATTCAGATATAAATTCGTGATTTGTTGCGATAGAAGTTTAATAATCCTTTCCAAGATTTACCGAAATTTCTCTTACCCCATGTAAAAAGTTTTGTTCCTACACAAACGTGCGCTGAGAAAAATTGCAAAAAAAATTAATGATGAAGAGCACAGACACGAGTGTGTAAGATGTTTCGGAAAAATGTCAATTTTATACAGTTTTTTTTGGTATTTTTTTTCAAGTGAATAACGTGGATTTCCGTAATTAATTAGTGCCAATCCGAGTTCTCCGATTTACTCCGAGTTTCCGACAGTTCTGTCAGCGATCACACAGAGAACAAACTTGAAAAGGTGTCCGCGCAGTTTTCAGACACGTACGTAAATTATGGAGAAGAGTGTCAGAAAGAATAATTTTCACAAGATCGCAATAACAGAACGAGTAGAAACGAGACGTAAAATGTACGACGTATATTTGAAAACTTTTGAATATTTTTCTCACGGATTTTTTTTAGAAACGAAAGATTAATATTTATAAATTAAAAAAGAACATTATTGCTCGCCGATATTACGTCGCTCGCGTCCGTCGTGTCAAATTTCAATTTGATGCTCATGAGTGCGATCAAATTTCACGAAACGGGACAAAACTATCCAATGTCAATATGCAGCGCGAATATATACATGTCCGCCGTGATGATACAATTAAACATTTTCACGAGCGATCACGTGGTTAATCGCCAAGTGATTAATTTCGAACGTTACGAAATACGATTAGTCGGGACGGATGATTTAGCAATCGGCTAAACGCGTACGTTTACAACAACGCTGATGGAACTGCGGCCACTACGAGTGTTACCATCACAACTGTGTTGTTGCCAACTACCACTGTGCTGACATCGGGATTAACGCGCATGTCCGTCTTGTTTCCTTACTTGTGTGATGACAAATTACTGCGAACGGGCGAGGCCGATCGAAAAGAAACCAAGTTTCACAGGTGTCGATTTTTATCGATTCGTTTCGCGACGTTTTTCTTCCACCGTCTTCTGACACGGCAGAACACAACGCGGTTGGACGAAAATTTTACAGATAAATATTTACTATTTCGTGATTTTTAAGTAGACAATCAATACGTTTCTTCGTATAGAACACGGGGATTTGTAATTTGTCCGCGAAGAAAACTCGAGACGTTTCGCCGACGCGTTTACCTGGGAATTTCGCCGACGCAAAGTTCAAGGTTGGAATGAGTAATGGAGTAATTTCAGGAATTGATATAAACGAGTCGTATGTTTGGCAGGTGGTTTATCAAGATTTATTACTTTCTTGTCGCTTTTCATAGACTCTCCGCCACCCTCTCCTCTTACCCTCCCCCGTTCCCGCTGCCGCCGGTTCGCCGACGCGGAAAATTGGCCGTTTCGACGAGTTAATGTCAATTTGTGTCGATAAAGTGAACTTTATCGCGACTGCATCTCTCTCGCCGGAAGATCGCGGTTGTTCGTGGAAAAATTGACTAATTTATCAGGCGAGAAGTGCGTCTGGAGCGCGATACGGAGCGTTTAATTTCGCGCTGCATAAAAATTTGCGTCACTCTTCCACGGCAAATGTATTTGCGAAACATCGTGAATATATTGCACGTATCGAATCTCGCTTTGGTTTTTAATACTTTTTTTTTTTTTTGCGGCAAGAGAACAGAAATTTTCCGAGAAAAATCGTCGCGCTTCTCGGAAAACAGTCCGCTCGCATGTCCGCCCGCGAAATTCACAATATATATATATATATTTCCGCATCGCGTATTATATATACTGGCGAAAAAAAAGAAAATCACTTCCCTCGTTTCATTTTTTTGATTTCCCCGCTGGAAATCGCGTTTTCTGCGTAAAATTATATTTTTATTCGCGAAAATGTCACGGAAATGAGATATTTTCGCAGAAACGCGAACGTAAAAATGCTTCTGTCAACTGATTTCCGTGTGCTTGATTATTCCTTGTGTTTGCCCGCTCTTTCAGAGAACACACATTCGGTATTTGAAAATAATCTATTTATAGTGACCGCGCGCGCGCATACACATTTCAAAAGCCACATAATCCGCGATATATCGATCTTGCGGAATTGTCCGTTTGACGTGCATTCGGACACGAGGCTGCGGATACAAAATTTATCGTCGGAGCGAGCAGGGGAATGAGAAAGAGAGAACCGTGAAAAACGTCGGACGCAGATTGTGGTACTCCTTGCGCGATTACGGCGCTCGCCAGACCGAGAACCAATCATTTCGCACGACCGACAACCGAGGGAAACCTTGAACTTTGCATTTCGTTCAAGACGAATCGAACTCTCGCGTGTGACCGTGCGAACTTTTTATACGCACGCATATACATTTTCTATGATGACGTAAGATATATTTTCATCGAAATTGAGGTTTCGTCAAATAATTTAATATTTTTTTCACATGCCACAAAAAAAAAAAACTACCTACCAACTAATCTTATTGCGCTTGTCGGATTTCGTGCAAACAACAAAGTTCAGTTTTCGTTTTGTCTTTTAACGTCTAAATGCGAGCGCATTTAAATCTATTTAAATTTCGGCGAAAATACTTCGAAATATATGCGCGCTTTGTATTTTCGGGACGAAACAAAAGTTAAAACGAGGAAAATGAAGAGGGTATCTAGTTCTGAAATTGCAACCACACGATACGAGCATTGCATCTTGTTGACTTGAATCTCTCTCGTGCGCACGTTACGCCGATAACGAAACCTGCCCATAATTACTTTGCTTAACTGGGCATGCACCTCGCGCGAAATTACAATTACAAATTGGCGGCGGGCGAAGCTCACCGAGCATCGTGGCACCTCCTCTCATCAATTATTTATGAGCTGAATGCGTTTTCCATTCCCGCGGTCCTCCTTGCTCCAAATCCACGTTTTCAGATTTATCCGGAGATCGCGCGAGTTTCACCTTTCGTGCCGCACGCGCCTTTTTCTCGCATGTTGAACGCGCGAACACGAAACGTTATGCGCGCGTGTCTGGTACACACACATACACACACACGAAGCGAACGTTAGAAAAATGTTTCACATCATAAGACACGCTAAAAAAACAAAACGTATTTTTTCTTATTATTTTCCTACCAAATAAAGAGCGTCTGAAAAAAAAAACGAGCGTTTTCGGTAGATTTCAGAGCGTTTTTTTATTCGATTCGAGTTGCTATATCTCGCGATAATCTAAAAATAGAGCTCGGTAAGCGCTTTAATTGCTTTGCGCTCTACATGCGCTCCGCGCAAGATTGAATAGTTTTCGAAATCTTCTCCGACGATGTGTGAGTGTGCGGTTTCTCATTGTTCGAGATTTAAAATCAACGGTAATATTTGGTCGCTTGAGAAGTGTTCCAATAACATTCATTCAAGGAAATAATTACAACAAAGTATTTTTATGTAAAAAACAAACTAAAATTTAAAAATATGTCTTAAAAAAATATTTAAAACATTGAGAATTGTTATGTTTAATATTCACGCATCTAATAACTATTTCTTTTGAATAAAATGTCCGGCCAGGTGGTGCGTGTGCGACGTCATCGGGACAGTTACTTTGTACGCGACGTAATAATTCTCTCGTCATAAATCGCGCAGTCCGGCGAGCGGCGATAAATCGCGCAGGTAGTCGTTGAAATGTTGACGAAATTTTTAACAGGCCGATAATGTAATCGCGTATAATTATACGTGTCGGAGTCGCGACACGTATCCCTCAAGCAACAATGACGCAATTGCGTTCACGCGAGATCGAGATCTCGTTTTTTTTTTTTTTTTCGATTCACACCTTCCTTTAACACTGGAAGGTCAAACGTGGGCAGCTCACAAACGCGCGCGTGCGTCGTTCGAACCGCGGTCGTTTTAATCGCTTTTGCGCGGAATCACTCGCATGATCGTACACGCATTTAACGCTTCCATCTTGTGGGCGTATCAATTCAAATTTTATCGCGCGCGCGCACCACTTTACATAAATATTTTTTGTTCATGCGTTGCGACACGATAATTGGTTGTTTTTATTAATCGAGGGTGTGTATGCGCGCGCGCAAAGTATATCGCAATTGACGATAAAATTTTGCTAAATTTTGTATCAAATATTATTGGTAAGCTATTTGGTAAACTTTATATGACGTATCGAATTCGATGTGCACATATGTGTGTGTGTGTGTGTGTATGCGCGCGCGCGATGTAACAGTATACAATTTAATGAACTGTCTAGTTCAGTTCATTGCAGGAAATTGCAATTTCTCTGTGCAAATTGTTTCTCGCGCAGAGATTTAATTAACAACGCGTTTTGTGTGCCGATTACGTTTCTGATGAGTATCTCTGCAAAGCGAGCATCGGGAACATTTTGCATCGAGGCTCGATCTTCTCCTTATTTGCCCACGCAATACGGATGTATTGCGCGAAGCGGTTTTGTTTGTTGTGCGCATATTAGCATAAAAGTGACGCGTCAAAAACGAACAAGGTGAAACTGCAGATCATTTAAGTTACCTAAGATGTTTTTTTTTTTTTTTTTTTTTTTTTTAAATGACGTGACATCACAATGCCGAGTGATGTGCGAGTTAACTTCGCGCTCGATATGTCACTTTGCGTCTTGCGCGAAGACACAAATGACGATAAAATTTTGTTATCCGGGAACGAAGATTGAAAAATAAAAATTAGAGACGTCTGAAGAGAAGTCCGTGTCGAATGATGCGTTTTGTTGCGAAGGAAATGACGTCACAGTATCACGGTTACGATTCTCCGATAGAGCCCCGTCATGGTTGACAAACCAAGCGTCTATTTTTTTGCGCTCTTCGAGTCTCTCGCCTTTCTTGTCTCTCGCTTCGACTCGAGGCTCACCGGCTTTCTTCCGGAAATTGTTCTCGGAGGTGTGTCGCGCGCATCGGACAGGCCCCTTTTTATTATTATTTCTCCGTGTTGAATTCGCTTCCGGAATTTATTTCCACATCTCACAAGAGAACGGCACTACATACATATATGTAAAAGACCAGTCGGAAGAGAAAGAGACGTCGTCTCGGTCGTATCTATCTAGATATCAGCTGTCCGTTGGATTTGGATATATCGATACGTGGGTCGATCGGTTTTCTCGTGCGCCGCTCTCGAGCGAGATGCCATATATGTGTGCTCGGATACACACAAACACGGTACGTGGGCCAAAAGAACAGCGCGCTCCGAACCGGTCTACGTTCCACCAGAAAGTATTTCGAGGCCCGTGCAGTTTATTACATTTTTGTATAAAAAAAACACCGCATGTACTTCCACACAGACACACACACACACACACACACACGCGTACACACACATCTTCGTTGATACGCGCAATTTACTTCGCGTACATTACGATTAACATCAAGCGCGTCGTAATGAAGCGTCTCAAATCGAGAATCGAGCGCCGTAAGCTGCTGTGAATGCTCGTATTGTAGCTGGGGCAAGATTGTTCATCGGTGATACGCAAACCTAGTTTCAATTATACCGCTTTATACACACACAAGTGCAAATTTCAGCCTCAAATTTCGTTATTACACCGTAACGTTCAAAGAAGATTTCCACGGTGTTTATCGTAGCGAAAGTTTCTTCAAAGTAAATTTATCACTTTTGTCGCGAGATAGACATTTGTCTCGTTTGTTTTTTTTTTTATTCTCGTGCGCGATTTACACGCGAGAGCGGCGAAATTCGTTTATCTTACCTGCAGCATCTCGAGACGCGATGACGCCTGTGGCGCTGCCATATTTTATCAATCGTCGTCTATCGTCCTCTGTAACCGCTCAACAAAGAAAGGGATGTTTTAGTTCTGAAAAACAATAAGTTTATTTATTTATTTATTTTTGTCT